CCTCTTATTATCCTTATTGTCTTTACTGTCATTGTTATCTGCAGTGCTCTACATTATGATTATTATTCTAATATTTTTATAGAATGTTCATTCTGAGTCAGATGGAAGAAAAGATTTCTGAAGTCCTCTGCTAGTCAAGTGTCTTGCGCGGATTTTCTATAGATCACAAGGATGTATTGGAATAAGTGCATTATGTCGACAAACATTCAACCCTCTCCATGCTCAAACGGTGGTAGTCATATCTACTATGGTTATGCATGCAATTCGAGAAAGGGCGGAACATACTTCTGATGGTGGTAGGATCGATAAGAAAGCATTGGAAAGATTTGAGGGTATAAAAGCAATGAGTATTTCAATTTACACTTGTCTTGATCTTGTATCTTCTGCTAACATTTTTTTTTTTTAGATCTTTACGACAAGATCCATCGAACTTGGAAGTCCCAATCTGATGTGCGATCTTTTGCAACCCTTTGTTTGTTACAAAAGAAGATTAAGGCAGAGACTGATACAATTCAAAATGATGAGAACGAGGTTATAGCAGTACCAAATGCAAATAGTAATATGGTCGACGATCTTATTGATGATTCAGATGCCGATGCAGATTTTCGAGAACAATTACAAGCGTATCAAAGGGATAAAGGCTTATCATCAGCTATTGAAGGTAATACTAAAATCTCTCAACATTCTTCGTTATGATCTAATCATTTACCCTCACTGGCAGACTCATCTAGATCTTCCAATCGAGATGGCATGGAAGCTCCGAGTCCGAATCGGAATACAGGAAATAATACTCCCCAAGGTAAGCAGGCTTAGATTTATTCATTAGATTCTAACAATTTTATAGATTCTGGATTTATAAACAATAATTCTTTTGTTCAGCAACAAGCTGTCAGTTCTATTAAAGAAAAGAATATAGATTCTGGTGTGTTTTTCTCTCTTTTTATTTCTTTTATTATTATTATTTATTCAGGATTGTTCTTTTCTTATTCTTCCGATTTCAATTTCCATCTTCAATCTCTTTGTTTTTATCATTTCCCCTTTTTATCTTCTCTATTCTCCTTACTTCAATTCCTCCTTACTTCAATTCCACTTTTCATCTCTCTTTCTTTTTGCATACTAGTATTAATGATTTTCGAATATATTGGTGGGTCGCCAGATTTCACATCAACATTTGGAGCAGCAACCTGAAAACTCAGAGCCAAGAGATTCGCTAGGTAAAGTCCTTTTTATATTGCTATTTACAATATTACTAGTTGATAGCTAATTCTTAATGAAGAAGATAATGAACAAATATTACCTCGCCATCCACGCCGACCACCTCTAGCAAAACAACAAGACAACGGAATACCACAATGTACTATACGAATCAATACGCGTTCTGGACCTAATGGTACAACATTTACTACTACTGGCACAGATTTGAGATCGATGCAAGCCTTACCTTCAAATTCTACACTATCTCGATTATTATGCAATACAGGATTAAAGGTTGAAGGAAATCCTACCACCGCATGGATTCGATATTCAACACCAGCCATGGAAAGATCTACTATGTCCTCGAAATCGGAGCCATCAAATAATAATACAGATAGACATGGAGATGTATGGGATGAGGCAAGCTTTGTTGATATGATAAAGTTTGTTACTTTAAAGGATTACAGATTTTGTGAAGATGGTGAGCAGTTGCAAATTAATGTTTGGCAGATATCTATGCCACCAAGTATTTCAAAGAAGCTTTCTCAGGGCCAAAGTACTACTAGGAATGGAGGAGAGGAGATCAGCAAAGGATAACTTGAATGGTTGGATGAATGGGTAGGAATAATCTGAGTGCACTAGCCTAGCCGGAATCTATATTGACAGCATTTCTATTATATTATTTCGCTTACCAATGAATGTGCTAGCATATGTATATCCATATTGTTATGATCTATCCTGACTAGTCCTACCACACTTACCGTCCTCATTATCTTTACCATCCTTACCAACCTCACCATAATTCCCACCCTTACCATCTTTACTATCTTTGCTATCCTCACCATCCTCATTATCCTCACCATCCTCACCATCTTCACCATCTTCACCATCCTCACCATCCTTACCATCCTTACCATGTTTACAATCCTTACCAACCTCACCCTACTTCCCACCCTCACCATCCTTACCATTCTTACCAATCTTACTATTCTTACCATTCTTACTATGCTTGCCATACTTATCGTATTTAACCATGATTACCACGCTTGCCATGCTTACCATCCTTACCTTACTTAGCGCTCACACCAATGTCATCTTTTTTGCCACTGCTATAATTGTATAATGTTTGATACCGACCCTGCTAATAGCATCAATATATAATATTGGCGCCGGTAGCCAACGAAAGCTACCAAAGCTTGCCGACGCTGCCGAAGCGGCGCCAATAAAAATTTTGCGGGTGTGCCGATCGGCGCCGTAATTAGGCGAGTATCACAAAAGCGCTGAAGCTTTGAAAAGTGGAAGAAATATTTTGCGGATGGCTTATATTAAATGGATCTCTAAGCGATAGCTTCAGTTATACTAATACGAATCCACCTAGAAGTATTGTTGCATATCTAAACCCAAGCCGTATAACTATTCCTAAACTTCTAATCGTATAGCAATCCTTAGAGTCTAGAGTTTTAGAGTTCTAGTACTAGTCTAGCTTATATTGAAAATTTTCTAAGCGAAACGATGGCTTTAGTTCCATCAATACAAATCTATATAAACGAATTGTTGTATATCTGAGTTCCAAGCTGTATAACAAGTAGTTCCACTAATATGATTCAATCTCGGAGTATTATTATATATCTAACGAGCTTTGACTTCGGCACCAGAAAAACAATTCGCCTCGTTTCGCTCTTCGAATCGTTTTTCAGGGCACCTCAGGTCCTATGTCGCAGCTTGTCCTCCGGAGGCCTATTATAACTTGATAATCATATAGATTGAATAGTTTTCTTGAATATCATGTCTTTAGATTTTGTTTTATCGATTGTTTTAAGAAGTGTACTAATATTGAAGGTTTTCATGTGATTTTTTAAAGAAATGTTAATTCATTAATCTATGGCTGACTAATCACCGCTTTGTTATCTCTCAAGCCTCAACCCACTCAACCCACTCAACCCCTCCTTCATCACCCCACCCCCCACAACCTCCGGATCCAAATCCACCACCGGCTTCAGCGATTTCATATTAATCGGCTTAGTCAAAAACAAATCGATTCCGCTCATAGCCGCATCCCTCCTATGTTCATCCGTACCAAAACACGTGAGCGCCACGATGCGCGTTCTGCTTAATCCATTTGTATTTTCGTATTCGCGGATATGGCGTGCGGAGGTGAGTCCGTCCATGATGGGCATGGAGATATCTGTTGGGGTGGGGAATTAATTGAGTAATTGAGTACCGGTGGGTGAAGAAATTGAGATTGGAGAGGGAGGGGGAGAGGATAAACGATGAAGTGAAGTGAAATGCGATGACTTACCCATGAATATTAACTTGAATCTTCCAGGAGCTTTCTTGTATTTCTCAAAGGCTTCTAAGCCATTCGATGCAGTATCGTGTTCCTCTTTTAGTTTCTTCATGCTGTGGACAAGTATCTGGTGGAAGATTAGAATGTACTCGGGTAGTAGATCAGTTTGACCTACTTTCAGATTGATTATATTGTCCTCAACCAGAAGAACAACCGTTCGTGAAAACTTCTCAACCGCGGATGTGGATGACAATTCTGGTTTTGGTCCTGCTTTGGCGATCTGCAAGACTGCAGGTTTCTCGGAAACGAGAGGCTTTTCAATTACTGGAGCTTTTCCAATGGTTGAGGGCTTCTCAAGAATAACTGGGGACTTCTCGGCGACGACAGGCTTCTCCGAAATCAGGGATCCGTTAAGCACAACAGGCTCATCAAAGATAACAGGGTTCTGAACAACAGCGACCGGCTTTTCTAGAGCCGTACTCGCGGCTGCTTCAGATAGAACAAGCACCTGGAGCGCCACGGACTTTTCATCGACATACCCGTTCGATTTTTCTTGTACATCATCCAACGTACCCACCTCATTCTCCTTCGTCGACGGCGGTGGCAATTCCACTTGGAAGGGAAACGATTGATATGTCACAACCGGCTCTTCAGTTATTCTCATATCTAGTGCTGAGTCTGTAGATTCATTTGATAATTTCCGTGACTCGAATTTGGGCCGCGCTGAGTCTATGGGTTCGTTTAATTGTTGACGTGATTCCATGTTGGGTCTATCATTATTGTCAACGTTTTTTGGACTGACTTCAATGATCTGAGAATCGGGATATCCGTTGGTGGATGGCGTGAGCATGTGAGGAGAGCCTGTGCTGGATGGGACCCTATATGTCATGCTGGGTAGTTCGATGTTGTTTGGTATAGAGCCTGTGGAATGTAGATAGTCAATACATTGCCCTAGAATTCTCGCTAGTTTATAGGGTCCGGCACTATGAAGATGTTAGAAACATCGATCAAGTGATACTGGTGGCATGATAGGGAAAAAATTCCCCAATGACCCAGATCTAATTGCAGATCAGCTTGCAGAGGCACAGATTCAACTCACGGTTGTGTCAGATAGAACACACCCTCCTCTTTTTTGGAAAGTTTCGTGTTATCCTCGAACACAATCAAAGGCTTCTGTCTAGTGTGGTCCGCGAATTGAAGTTGTGACTTCAGGCAAATAAAAATAACACCATTGGTAGAAACGCCCGAGCAAGCTTTTCGTATAACCATTCCAAACCAGTCGCCAGCATAGTTTATCAACGCAGACTTGATTGCAGTCATTTTTCTTTCTTCCGCAGACCGCGCAACTGTAGGTATCTCGCAGGGGTCGGGATAATTATCAAGCCCGAGAAGGCACATTGATAGCCCGCGACAGCGTTCTTTCGTCTCTCTAATCAATTTCTTACTATTAGTCTCTTCGTAATCATCAGATAATATTGATTGCTTGACAGGAATTTCCACCTGAACAGCTGTACCGGCTCCAATCGTGCTCGATATATCAATCGTCCCGTCGAGTCCTTGCACCAGTTTTCCAACGATGCTAAGGCCTAGCCCTGTACCAATACTCATAGGATCTTCCTGTGCAAATGGTGTGTATAGTTCGTATTTCAAATAATCTCTGGATATACCTTTGCCGGAATCTATGATGGACAATTTGGCCGTCGGACCATTAATAGATTGCTGTGCCGTCAAACGGACATGAACGTATCCAAACTCGGTGTATTTGAGGGCATTTTGGAAGAGGTTGATCAAAATTCGTCTCCAGCTACTGATTTGGGAACTGAAGGTCCAGGAGATCTGCCAATCGATCTCAAGAACAATCACAACACTATCTGGCGAGCCACTTGCATCCATGGTCGTATCTAGATCATCTCTATCGACGGAAAGCGAACCTTCAAAGGTTGATTGTCGAAAGCTTTGTGCCGCAGAGACCCCCTCAATGACGGTCTCAATGAGGTTACTGAGGTCGAAATCCGTGTTTGAGTCAATAAATTGTCTTGGAAGATCCTTCATATCTTTAGTCTCCTCCTTGTTGGTCATTTTAGCGTAATCTAGGCTGTTTACTCGGGTTAGAAGTATAGAAAGCAGTATGATTAAACTCTGCTTACATATGGTCCATAGTATCCAGCAGAACCTCGCCGCATATGGTTATAGAACGAATCATATCATCTTGCTCATCGCCGGTCGACGTATCTCGAAGAGCCTCTGCGCTAGATAAAACACCGTGAAGAGGACTCCGCAATTCGTGCGAAACCACGGAGATAAAATCTGATTTGGCACGATCCGCAAGCTCGGCATCTAGACGAGACTTCTCGGCCATGATGCAGTTCCCAAAGGCTGTGAGATAGGTGAGATCCTCTGTGGTCATGATTCTGAACGGCCTTTCTGTCCAAGCGAAGCTTCCTGCAAGCCATTGACTATTTATATGATTAGCAATAGCTTCTATAGTCGAAGATTTCTTGTTGGATGATGCTCTCGAGACTATACAAGCCCAACCTCATGCATCTCAATGAGAAAGGTGAAAAGGGGTAGCAACATATCCAATACTTACTCTCGTTGTGGATCCCTCAAAGGGAAAAAGACAATCGTTCGTGCTCTAGGACAGACCACCAATAATTCTCCAACCCATGCTGCAACAACTGCTTTGTCAGGCTCAATATTTCCATTTTCGCAAATCTCGAACGGCTCGGGTTCTAGATCATAATCCAGAGTACCATTGTCGAGAATGACAAAAATCCGACCTTGACTATAACATGTCATCAAACCCCTTACAGTTGTCTGTGAGAGTGAAATATCTGTAAGCTCGTCGAGTTGAGAAGAGTCCAGATTGTGTCTGACTTTGCATCCCAACAAATCACTCGTTAGAGGCTTTGCTGTCCGTTTAGATTCAAAATCATTAGCAATATCAGTTGAGAAATATGGTGCCTTACTTCCATCGCCATTTTGAACCCGGTCTTTAAATCCATTAGGGGTAGCGCCAGAGATAAACCTGTTCTTGGATGAAATTTTACTCGCCGAACCTCTAAAGCATGCGTCAACAAAGACAACTCCATCAAGACCTATGGCCTCAAGGATTAGTTGACTTGCTCGAGAAAATAACTGTTTGAGTTTTATGCTGGAAAAAGATTGTTTTCGCGCAGACTCCGCTGAAGAAGTACGACTTATGCTCGGCCTGTTTCTTTCAATGATTGTAGTTTTGTCGAACCCGGAGGAAAACGAAGATGATTCGCTGACCTGGCTTGCTATACTAACAGAGTTTACCTGCGTTTGGCATATCTCCGTTTGTTCCCTTGATGTCGAGAATGTCTCAGCCGTATCGGTTACGCAAGAATTGGATTCGCTCTGAGAATTTGGGGAACTATCTTCCAACCCTTCACCCAGGTTAGACTTGCCAGCCACAAAAAGTCCCAGGCCTTTTACCATCTTCGCACCCCTTTCTAAGTGGCTTTGATTTTCGATCAGTTGAAGGTGTCTCATGATTGCTCTTGCGATCTCGGTTAATATCGCAAACCCCTCGTCGTTCAGACCCTCATATCGTGGTTTGTTATCGACCACGCAATAGGTTCCTATCACATAATTGTCCGGACCTAATAGTGAAAAGGTCAGTATTGCTGTACATGTAAATTATGTCCTCTAAGCTCTTGAATATAAGCAAGGCCGGTTTGATAAGGATGCTTGTGACCACAAAATCGCGGTAGATACATCTTTGAAATGACATGTAGATTATGACCAACGTTCTCGAACTTTTTAAACATGAATTTGGAACTGAGAGTCGCAGGAGTTCGTCTAAAAATGGCTAACAAAAAGAGAGAGAAAAAAAGCCATGGTTCATTCATAATGAATCTGGAGAACTCACTGTAAATAGGAACTTCGGCATAATATCTCATATGTGGCCAACCTGCAATGTAGGGGCGTGTTTTGTACCGTTCAATAGCAGAGAGGTCGTTCATTACATAACGAGTCTGATTCGCGGTAACAAGGTTAGTTTTCACATTACCAGCGTCGTCCTTGGCCGTGAAAATCTGAATGGTATTTGGACATATCCCCCAGTGCATATCTAGGATGCGAGCCCCAAGAAATATTTCGTCACCAGGTTTAGTAACGTCACTTTGGAGTAAAGAGACACTCTTTGTCGCTTCTGCAATGATATATTGGTTGTGAGAGTCCATTAGAGATATGAAAGATCTTTCAGTGTTTAATCGATATGCGCCAAGCTGCGCAAAGGCAGTTAACGTAGGATCATCACGAAGTCGTTTTGAAGGATCTGGCCCCCCCTTCTCGTTTTCCTTTGGATTCTCTTGTATCGGTGGTTGTTCTTCCGCTTCACAAATGGTTTCTGGTAACGCTGCATATCCGTGGCTGTTTGTTTCGATATTGTCATCCTCACTTTGACGCGTAAGTTTATATTTTTCTGGTGTATAATATCTATTCAAGAACAAACAATGATTAGTTGTCCTCAGTCAATAAAGTTTTGGAGCATCTTACCTCAAAAGATTTCTAACTCTTTTCCTTTCGCGAGTTTTGACTTCCTCTGGTTGATCAGCGAAGGACGGCATTCTCGGATGGAACCGAAATAGGTTATCTATAGGGATTGATAGATCGACGATCAAAGAGAAGTAGAAAACAATAATAGATTAAATGTATAGTATCGACTATACCAGTCTGTACGGAAAACAAAAAAACAAAAAAGGAATGATCACTCATCAATAGTGATTTTCGCATATCCGTATGATACCCCTAAGCTCTAAGTGGGACTCACAGGATACCGTTTGTGAAGATCTTGACCGTGCAAGCACATTGGGAGGTAACCATGGCTGCACATAATACTGCTAAGGTCTTGAGAGAGACATCTTTTGGCAACTTCCGATCTCGATAAGGCCTATCAATATTCCAATATGCCGAAACTTTTCCAACTTGCTCCGTCTCGCCTATTCATGCATTTTCTCAAGTATATGCAATATCTGCGATGTTACCGATAGGAAGCACGAGATAGGTTAAATAGAAACATACATGTTATACTCCCATTGGAAAGGTTCCCGGGAAACTTTCGCGAGGGGAATTGAGCTACAATGGTGCACTGATAGAAAATTCCTATCGTCTCACATATTGCTGTAGAACCTTATCTACCATAAATAGTCCAGCGTGACTTGGTAAATAGAATCCAATCGTGGCTTAACTGGTTGTACAGAGATCCGTAGCTTACAGTTGCACTCGCTCTTGCACAACGTCCCACAGTGGCGGCTGGTCATACCTTGACTTGAAGTTCTGTGGCGACACTAGGAAACATACACTTGCTGGGCTCTTCGGGACATAGTTTCTAAGCTCTATCATTTCATCTCTCGTGCCGAATCGAACCCTAATATTGATCGCTTTATTTGAGATCCAATATTTCAGATTTCAGGATGGTTTGTGACTTCCTTGCTCCTCACACTCGTGTCTAGTTTTCGTGATGGCGACGGTGACTGTTACATAGCGGAGACTAGAGGGAATCTAGCGCTTTTTTTGTAATCTTACTTCTGCCAGAGGCACACAGCCAAGACATGTATTGCGTTTCAGGCACATCGGCACCTCCGGAGGAAGCTCTTCATAAGCGGGAGCCCGTTACCTGCCGATAATGCATTCAGAGCGGCTATTGCAGCTAGTGGACCGTGAATTAAATGAAGATATGTATCAGTGACTTCCCGTGTTCCGAAATATTCTCCCGTGGCTCGACATGCAGGGTAGCAATGAGTAAGTAGCCACGACATGGTCACATCGATGACCCAGAAGAACGTCATGTAGACCTTTCAATGCGTAACATTCCTTTGTATTTCGTGATAAGTTCTCAATCAACCCGGATTGGTACGATACTATGAGAGCAATGATTGAACGGATGGCAGTTATTCTCGTAATGCGTTTTCTTCCAAAGATTTCTCCAGGTTTCTTGTTCGCATTTTCGTTTTGCTTATTATCCAAAGGATTAACAAATACTCGAGTAGAAGATACCAACAGGTAAAGTACAGGTAGGTACTCGTTGTCGCCTGCCAGCCTCGTGACACACCCAAAGTGAAACTCGGACGGATGTTTTTTTCCAGGGAAAGTTCCAGAGGTGTGAATATCTATCATAGTACGTACTGGGTGACGATTAGTAAGAAACGCGTGGATATCATCCCGGTGAAGGACTCAGGTTGTAGGTATGAAGAAGGGTGAGCTTATTATTATGATGTGAGGTGAAGCTATATACTAATCGACTTCCCTAACCCTCCCCAATACATTTCATTTCACTTCAACACATGATTTAGTACGATAATAACCCACTGGTAGGTAAATTACCCTCCTGAGGTGCCCGTAGGGTACACAAGATCATAGTAGTTGTGCTTTGTCGCTTTTTTGAGCAACGAGTAAACTAAGAATGCCTACGGGGCGGGTTGTTTCAGAGTTCCAATAGGTAAATCGCGGGTAATCGCGGGTAATCGCGGGTTGACAGAATCACCTATACGCTTTACTACTTTCTATTTTTAATATGATGGCACTCGTGCTCAAGTGGGCCGACGTAATTATCTTACGATATCGATACCCCTCCTTACCCATCTATAAGATTATCACCTCCTCTCCTTACCTATTATCTTATTATGAAAAGATTTCTAATTTTGAATAGAATCGTTTCGAATACAAGTCGATCACTTGATAAATTCACTCAATTTCATTGTAAGATTAGAATACGGTAAATTACTCTCATGCCACTTAGATTCTAACCTATAGACGGCTCTCTTCCGTCCACTGGCTCATACTACGTACGTAGCATGATATGACGGCTCTCTTGGACATTCCTTTCACAGCTTAGAGCCCTAGCTCTATAGCTCTAGACCTAGGCATCTTACGCCTAGGTCTCTTTCACCCTTTTTGGCCTAGCCCTTATGGCTCCCAATACATGTATATATAGTCCTCCTTTTAGCACCCTACATAGTTCTTCACCCTTTTGGTCACAAATAGAATCTATAATGTGAGGGTTTCTATGGTGAGAGGTTTTCTATGGTGGGAGGGTGTATATGGTTGAAGTGGTAGATACGGTGGAAGGGTGGAGATCTATAGTGGAAGAGTAGAGTTTATGGTGGGAGGGTGAATATTGTGGAAGAGTAGAATCTATGATAGGAGGCTAAATTTTAAATGATATGATAGTAATTTACTGTTTTATTATACTCATTCACTTATGAAGCTGATTCAAATTGTATCAAAATTGTTCCTTTAAAAAAGGTCTTCTTTCTTTTTGAGTTATTCAACTTTCTTCCTTCCTGATATCTTTCTGCCTTCCGATATTAAGCCTATTTACAATATTCGCAACCATATCAATACTTAAGCTCTCTATATCCATTCTGAAAAGGAATTATTTGGTAAGTATACAAACCAATACAAACTTTTAAGTTATCTATTCAACATTCATCAAAATGGATTTCAATCACTTTTCTTCAGAGTCAGAATTCAGAATTGTTACTAACAATGAAGAAACCCTTGAAGAAATGGCGGCAGCAAAAGCGATAATGGAACTGCATAATAAAATACAAGAATTGCAAGCAACGCACAAGGAAGAGCTTGCTTTAATGGAAACAAAGCACAAGGAAGAGCTTGTCTTAATGGAAACAAAGCACACGGAAGTGCAAGCAAAGCATACGGAAGAGCTTGCTCTAATGGAAACAAAGCACACGGAAGTGCAAGCAAAACACACAGAAGAGCTTGCTTTAATGCAACAAAGGTTATTGCATTGAAGCAAGTTATTGGAATTGCAATTACAATTGCAATTGCTTATTTTCTTCTGACACAAAAGGTAAATCCTCCTCTTCTTCAAAACAATTGGAATATAGCTAACTCTTATCTTTTTTTTTTTTTTTTTTTTTTGAAGAACTTACTCCTTACATTACCCAATTTTAGACTCAAGTTTTACTTCTCGAATACAACAATGTTTGGTTAAAAGGTTAATCAAAGATGGTAGTTTGGTATACGAGAATTCGGTGTTATGATGGAGTAATAGGGTGGATATCAAAACGAATCATTTCATCGCTGGGGAGGTATAGATGATGGGTGGTGGGTGTTGGATGTGTTTGAGAGTGCTTTTGAGGGGTGTATGGAAAGTATAAGGGTTATGGAATTTTGCATGGATTTTCGTATGGAGTTTTGGATAGGGAATTTCATTAGAGAATCTCATTCGGAAGGATCATTCGGGAATTTCATTAAAGAGGATATACTACCAAACAATACTCTCATCGTCAATACAATATTTGGTTCTTTTCTCTTATATTCGTTTCTTTGTGATTTTAAAAAATATTTTGTTTTAGTATATATATAATATAATGTTACAGGGACAGTCTTTTAAATTACATGGAATTGGCAAGAACTCTAGTCTCAAGATGGTTTATATTAAGCTTCAAGTAAATGATCGATAAAGTAGTATAATATCAATATAATTGTTCTTGAATATGAAGCTCTATATTACAATAGAATCCCATTCCCTTATATAAACTGTAGAAAGTTATAATGTGCACTTGGGGAACGGTTCGTAGCTCCTGAAACTCTTGATATTAAGTTGTAGAGTTCCCTACGGGCACCTGAGGAGGGTAAATCGGCCATTTTTGACAAACGTCCTTTTTAGCGTGTGTATTGAGATTCAATGCTTGTATTGAGATTTGAAGCTAAAAAAGGCCTCCGATATCCTTGATCACCCTCTCCCGGGCCTTTCAATTGCCACCCCCTCTCCTCCCTCCCCTCCCTGGCCTCCCTAGCCTTCCTAGCCCTTTCCTCCCTGAGTTTCATACCTTATTTTGAACCTCGTCGTCGCACCCTTGTCGTCGCTAACCCTTAATCATTTGTATAAACAATTAAAACCATTCAAACCATTCAAACTGAAGTATTGAAACCATTCTAACTTACTGAATATTGAAAGCATTCAAGTTGACTTGAATGAAAAGTTGTAAAGGAATATGAAAGATTTCGGTAAATATGAATGAAATTGAAATCATCGATTTAGGGTGGAAAAAATTGAAGCTATATTGAACTAATTCATATTAGGTTTAACTATGATTTCAGATCTCAATACAATATCTCAATACATCTCATTGCATTTCGATACGTGGTTTAGTGCAATAATAACCCACTGGTGGGTTAATTACCCTCCTGAGGTGCCCGTAGGGGATAGAAGGACACCTCTCTCTCTTTTACCTCTTAGATTTAAAATGTCATGGTCGGAAACACAGCTCATCAATCACACTTCGAAAAGGATGGTAGATGTAACATCTCATTCGCAGAGTATACCTAGGCATGTCTATGGCACAGCACAGCACAGCCCACACCTTATATTATTCCAAGACAACCGATCTTTTCCTCTCATCTACAAGTGTTTGAACCTCACACCTCCAAACCTCACACAATACCCGTTCAAGTTTGTATACCCATCTATACAAGCCAGTTCATACTTTCCACCATCACCAATACATTTCCCTCGTACCTACCCCTACCGGCACCTACCTACACCTACCTGCACCTACCCTCGTCACAGGACCAAAAACCCTGTGACAAACTGACCCCTGTCCCAGCGCTATAATAAATACGACTATACAAGCTTACAAAAAGCCACTTTTGACAACAATGAGCATGCCCTAAACGGAGTGGGCAACTCACACACAACAAGTTATCACCAAAGCGAAAGAATGGTATTCCCTCAATTAGCTTTGGAACTAGAGCTTGCATCGGAAATGCAAGAAAATTGGCTATCTCGAGGTGATAAATGTGGATCTCTATATTTATGTAATTAGTACCTTACCTTAGCCCGTCCCCAGTACCCTTCGGGAGGTCGTGGGTAGGCTCCGCCTACCCCCCGGACGTTAATATATTAAATAAATAAACAATACATTTCCCCTCAAAAGGTTTGTTGCACATCTCATCTCCTTCGCGAAATTCCTATTTGGTTGCTCTCCCGCTTATATAGCCGTGGTGGCCCGTATATTTCCCCTTCCAATCAGTTGGCTTGACTGACTATCAGGCTGCAGAAGTGCGAATGGATCAATCATATCCAATCAGTCATTTCGCAAAGTGTCACAAGTAACTCACGGCGGTGAGCATCCTCTTGGGGTTGCCTCTGTATGGTTCATTTGAGGAACCGTCAAATTTACGAATTTGGAACATATATTGAGAAACTTGTTATGTACTCGAGTACATGGGGATTCCATTCAATAGGTCTTGTGTTTCCTACCAAGCGGTTGGAAATTATTGCCTCATTGCTTCTCGTGTGCCGATTCCATGAGTCTTCATTTACGCACGTATTCTAGATATGGTACAAAGGAACCTCCGCCATGCCTTGGGTATATCGCATATGCGCCCGCATATCAAGTGACATGTCTCATAAAGGAAATGTTTAAGCTGCAAACTTTTACTGTTCATAAACTTCGCAATATTCATGACATCAACACGGTCCTTGACATCCGTGAAAGGTCGTGACACTGCACACTGCCTTGTGTCTGACTTCGAATGGTATGGCTACGGTATAAAAACAGTGGTATTGGGTGATTGCGATTCACCTCCTGGTCTACGACCACACACAACGGTACTACTACCACTATCAGCATTGAAAATAGCACGAGAAAGACAACTTACACGTCGAGATATGCATGGATATTCTCGTCCTTTAGCGCTTTCCTCATCTCAGCAAGGAACAGTTGGGCAGATTCAAAAGACCACTATGTCAAATCAGCAAAAAGTAACTTCAACAGGGAAGACGGCAAAGGTGTACATACACCGCCAACCGACGTCAGCAATCTAATCATGAATCCTTCTATCCCTTCATGAAGCCTATACTGATTCCAACGCCCCAGCTCCTTCAAAACCTCCCACCTCTTATCTCCATCACTACCATGGGTTCTATGCTCAGGGCTAGGCCACGGATTCATAGGCCACTTATACCTCACCTCCACCACATCCTCAAACCCCGCGGCTTCCATTCTAGCCTTACTCTCCTCCCAAATCGTGAAACTCTTCCCGAACTTTTTGCCCAGACCCGTTACCGTCTTACCCCATCTGGTAAAAAAGCTCTTCTCGTTCACCGTGTCATCATCGGATACTGGACACACGCTATGCTCCAAGACTTCGATATAACCACCCGGTTTCAGACATGAAAGTGTTTCTGAGAAGAAGATGTCCCAATCGATTACACAGCCAAACAATTCTCGGATATGGATAAAGTCGAAATAGCTGCCAGGATAGGTCCATTCGAGATTTAAATCTTCAATCTCGAAGTCGCAGTTGGGTGGGACGAAAACAGGTTGGATCGGTGAAAGATCTGTGCCAATTACATGCGCAGAGGGATATGCTTCGGCCATTTCTCTACGCAGAGTCAGGAAGGAGTGGTGCGGTGATTTTAGAGACTCGGACTTACATTGCCCATATTCCGGTTCCAGTTCCAACACTGCCAAAAATTAGTGCGAGTCGAGGATTGAAAGAAGATTTGTGTGTTGTGAGAAAAATGGACGATACATAGATGAAGAAGTCGAGAAAGCGGAAAACAACCGGAGTAGCGAAACTAATGAGACGGTTGTACTCACTCCAATATATTCTGTGGATTCTTAAGAGGAGCCAAATGAAGTTTACCATCTAACGTCATCAAATACATATGGTGCGCAAGATCTTGTGAATCACTCGAAGATTCGTCGTTCGGGCCCTATATATAAACTTCAGCATCCTGCTAAAGGTACATATTCCCAAAGAAATTTCTCATACCCAGTACTCTCCATCTTGATAGGAATGATAACGCCTCCCATTTTCGTAGCGATAGTCCGTAATGTAACTAGCCAATGTATCGGTATCACAACCTATCAAGGACCCACCAAACGCAGAATCATGATCGTCAAATAATTCTACTTCTTCTTGTTCATCGTTGTTCTCCAGACTTTGAGTACTTGGCGGAGAACCTGGTTCATCCGAGTGTGACTCCGAAAGCGATAATTCTAGCGCCGAATCGTGCGCCGAAGCTGTTTCTGTGAAGAGAGGCCGGGGTGAACTTGGAGTTAGTAAAGTATTATTAGATGATTGCGGCTCCATCCTGCAATCAGTTCAAAATCTTCAGATTTGCGAGTCAAAATGCGAATGTAGATTCGAGGCCGGTATGTATCTTTTTAAACCAACTGTTGGGAAATTTCGCACCCGGAGCCGATGTCACTTTTCTAATCTTCCTTTTTGTTTTATGTAGAAACTAGGCAATAACGCCTTTAACTTTCCATGGTACTAATATAAAGATCTAGAACCCCTTTTTGTTGCACATGAACGATTGAGTGTTCTCAGGACTTCGTTACTTTATTCTTAATGAAGGATAATCGGATGATATGTAGCGGCGGGAAGAGGCGAGGAATGGCTGACCAAACGCCATTTACCAGCCGCTGTCAGCGTTGAAGATTGACAGGCTCTAGGCAACAAATAATATAGGGAGATACTAATCTTATCGTGACAGCAGTCCAAAGCGAGTTTCTTTATGGAGGATACACGACTTCGATACGTTCCGTTATCTGCGTACCCTTCCATTGTCCACGAATTCTTACGAACGAAACTAGACACTATTTGTGTTTATCCGACATATTTCTACCAACATCGAACGCTCTAGACATTTGTTTCTTCCCATTGTATCTTTCTGCAGAGTTATTGGATGATCAATCCCGGAAAGTTCGGCTCGTTGTGGTGTGATGGAACCATAAGTGGCGATGGGGTTTTATCCGGTGCTCGAAAGTGGATGCAACAATTCCCAGGTACAAATAGGGACTTCCACCGATACCAAAATGAACCATATTCCCGCGTCTTCTGAGGTACTAATCTACCAAGCATACAAAACAGGACAGGACAAGACAAGACAAGCCATTTTTCTTCATCAAATCTAATCATAAATCGCTTCATGTAGTATCCAGGTATCACTCCTGCTATACTTGGTCGTTAGGTAAGTAGGGAGTGAATGAAGGTGGAATACCATAGTCCCAGGTAGGTGGGTTCCTCCACACATTGATCTGAGATTGTACACGACAAATCCATCGTCGAGCTTTCATTGCACCTCAAAATTCCATTCAGTCTTTCTTACATTTCCTCGTCGCATCAATCATCAATCATCATCTCAGCAAGATATGGGGGAGGGAATCAAAGGTTTCTCGCTAAGTTCATCGGATCCGGTTATCATAATTGGAGCAGGTACAAACTTGAACCTAAAAATGGTCCCTGCGTATTGATTACTTGCTCACTATTGATGGCAACTTTCAGGGTGTACAGGCCTTGCTATCGCACAGGGCCTCAACAAAGTTGGAAAGACCGTAATTAAACAACACACAAATGCTAATTACGATTCTAGGCAGGAATAGGAACAATTGTATTTGAAAAAAATGTCGCTCCTTCAATTCCTAAACAACGAGATTGGAATATGGGAATTCATTGGGGAATGAAAAACTTGAAATCCCTGATGCCCGAATCTGCCCTCCCCAAGCTACAATCTTGTCAAGTCGATCCACACACACCTACAAAACCCCTCGATACTCTATCGTTCCTTAATGGTAAGACAGGAGAGGTTATGTTCGCACCGGAGGTTCCATACTTCCATCGACTGCGACGGTCTAAACTACGCGCGCTTTTGACTCAAGAGCTCGACATTAGATGGAATAAACGATTGAAAAACATCATATATGAACATGATGAGAAAAGTGTAACATGTGTCTTCGAGGATGGCCAACACATAACAGGCAGATTGGTAATTGGCGCAGATGGTTCAAGATCAATGGTTAGGAGACTACTCCTTGGACCAGAACATTCGTTGAATACACGACTTCCATATGCGGCTACATTTGTGCAGGCAAGATATACTCGAGAACAAGCTCTCTTCCTACGTTCATTTCACCCTCTGTTCCTTGCTGCACCTCATCCCGATAACATTTTTGCATTCTTTGGTTTGCAAGATGCGCCGGATCCGGAGAAGCCGGAAAGTTGGACCTTCTTTTTCTATATCTCTTGGAATTCGAGTATCGACATGCAAGATGCAGAAGCCAAGGTTTTCGATGATGCGGCAAGATTGAGGCAGGTGAGGGAGATGGGGAAGCGGTATGCGGAGCCTTGGAAAAGCGCTTTCGAATGGTTACCCGAATATCAACCAGTTTGGTATTTTGGTCTTGCTGTGTGGGATCCGAGGGAGGAAACTCATCAATGGAATAATAGAAATGGAAGAGTAACGTTGGCTGGTGATGCTGCTCATCCAATGACTTATCGTGAGTTTTGTTTGATATTTCGTTTAGGAACGTACGCTGACATGTCCAAAGAACGAGGTCAAGGTCTCAACCATTCGATCACTGACGCGGGCAACCTGGTCGAATTCCTCAAAATGGATACCCATCAAAGCTCTGCAATTGATAACTACGAAGAAGAAATGATCAATCGTGCCGGCGAGGAAGTTCATCTCAGTATCATTAACACAACTATGTTACATGACTGGTCGAAGGTCATCGAAAGTCCCGTTTTTAAAAGTGCTTTGACCAAGCAATCGTGATGATTCTAGGTACTTCCTTCAAGTCTTCTACGAGCTCTAGAGAAAGGCCGAACCTGTTGGGTATGTATGGAAACAAAAGGAACTTGGATTAGATGAACGACAATCATGACCAATCCTAAAACCTATCAGATAGAAAGAAGGTTTTGAAATCCTTAAAACTACTCTAGAATCTCATCTCATCTCATCTCATCATAGACTCTATAATGCAGTCGTCTCTATTCCAAATATCTAAAGATTAATCAACATTTTCCAGACATCTCATCATTCTTTACTAGTCATACCTCTGTTCTCAATTTCCTGCTCTCTATTCCTATGTATTCAATACTCGTAGTGATATGAACACGAATACCGGTATCCTATAACATAGTCATAATCTCTATGTTAAGGTCTTACATTACCCGAACCCCTTCATCCGGCATGACTCAACATCCACCTCAACATCCATTCCCACACCCAATCTCCATCCCACCTCTCAATCCTCTAGCGCTGTCGTTGTCGCCATCCCCGTCGCCGACTCGATGACATCTAATCATTGATCATAAGAACTACTCGTAAACACCAAACACCAAACAATTCACCACAACAACAAAAGCCCACCCTTTCTACTTCTTCTGCTTCCATTTCTTCCTCTGCTTATTAACTAAACCCCCACATCATCTCTCTACATGACTACACTACACCACACCACACCACACTAGACTTTATACTAGACTCCCCTAGACTAGACTATAAATCCGCACCCATGGAATAATCATCTCATCATCTCATCTTTTGCTTTTTGTTCTAAATCATGACATGCTCATAGACATGGACAGCCCTATCATATCATATACCCTTTATACTAAACCCTCCACACCAAACCCGCATTACCCAAAAAAGGAAGAAGAGAAAACGTGCTCCCCCTATCCTATCCCATCCTATCCTGTCCTATCCTATCTCACCCCACGCACCTAAGGTTATCTCACCCACCCCACGCATATCTTAATCTGACTACTTACTCCATATCCCTCACAACCTTACAACCTTACAACCTTACCACCTCCATCATCTCACCTCCATCATCTCACCTCCTTCATCTCCCATCCCTCCATCTCACATACATCCCAACAATCCAACCCAAGATCCAAGCCACGAGGCCAAGTTGTTTTTGTCTTACATACCTCGTTTTTTGCTCTTTCCGTAAGTACCGTACACGTGACTACTGGGTTTATTTCTCCTTCCCACCCCCAATTCATTTCCTCTTCTTCCTTTTATTCTTGGTATAGCGGTACCTATACATATATATACCAATGAAAGCTAGATACGGATGAAGGCGAGTGAGCTTTTTGTTTGGTGTTTATTGGTTGAAAGGAGTAGATAAGTAGATAAGTAAGATTGCTTATACCGGTACTGTGATTGTACAGCAATGTAATCGGGGTTTCCTTATATAAATTTATTTCCGTGGGACTTCTTTTCTTTGTATTATATTTTTGAAGGTATTGTAGTAATCATCAAGCGCTAGACCCAATACTCAAGTATTTACAAGTAGGTGGTTATGAGATATAGTATAGATATAATACCCATGTGACAGAGGACTAAGTACCAGGTACCGAAATCTTCTTATACGAAGCGCAATACGAGAAGTACCGTGCCGTACTTTTAAGGGAAGGAAGGAAGGAAGGAAGGAAGGAACGAAGGAAGGAAGAGAGGGAGGGGTGGAAATACCGCACTGTTATCTTATATCCTTGGATAGCTAGGTCTCGTATGTTTTCCTAAAAGATAAGGGAGTGAGTGGGGCTGGGTTTGGCAGGCTTGGTAGGGGTTGTAGGTCTGTAGGTTGGTAGGTTGGTAGGTTTGGCCCCCAAATTTAGGTACTTGGTACTTTGGTAGATGAGTAAATTGATGGTCATTGGATAAGCTTTGAATTACTTGTCCCGATTAAGATATAAGAAAAGAAGCATATTGTTTTTCGGTTAAACTCACGTTTTATTTGCAACCTCCTTCATCAAGATATGATTGCGATGTTTCTCCACAGTATGAAACCCCATGAGGTTATACCACATCACATATCCAATATAAACGAGTATTTCAAAGCTATTTCTGGTATGCAGATATACATTGTTGTGTGATTTGTTACTATTCTGAAAAACTCTAAGATGAAAGAATGGAAAGGGATCGATAGTTCGAAGCTGGATAATTAATCTTGCTTCTCGCAATTTACTCCAACAGCCATCTATACAAGACTAAACGTACCAAATACGCCAGTAATGATATAACTTTCCTCAATGACTCTATAAATAGCTCATCATCCAAAGATTTCTATAAGACCAGGCTTGGCATGGCGTTCGTTCTCATTTGCTCTCCAATAGGTTCCATATCGCGGGCGCTAATTGATGACATCCGCAACCTCGCCATCCCAAATCATTCCAGCTCTGATTCATTCCATCCCTCTGGAACCCACCAACTGTATAAAATAAGGTTAGCCTTCAAACTGCCGATGAGCCCTAACATACACCACTACCCTACTCTTCAAACAAGCCTCACCAGACAAAATCATTGCCACGAGGTAACGTTTCATTAAGAGATCTGGCAGTGCACTGCGGTGAGTTCTGTACTACAAAGCAATTAGAATAAGATTCGGAGGAGCCCATCGGTGAAGTTTCTCACAGAGATGAGACTTAAAATCTTGGGATCCAATGGGGATGGGATTTGTATATAGGTCTGTGGAAATTACGGCGGGGGATGGCTGTCTGAGAACCTGGGATTCCGGGCTTGGAAGACGTATTTTTGTCACGGTGGAGTAGCTTGATGTGCAAATCGGGTATAAAATAAGGTAAGGCAGGCCACTATTACCGGAACTCATCTCTCGAGCTTTGTAGTTTTGAATTCATCGGATCGTGATCTTTCATCTCGTACAATTCTCAACATGGACAAGAGTGATTCGGTGTTTTCGGCGGGCAGAGCAAGGCTGTGCTGGATTGATGACCTACCCACCTCGCTGTTGCTGATTGATGATGATGTTTACTCAGCCAGAGCCCCATACTAGCCAGCCTCTCTTACAAATCATCATCATCTTATGAATGAGTTTATTCTTTAATGTTTGTCTAGTATAGCATACCTGGTAGATTAGACCAAGCTTTTTGATTTAGGTAGTGAAGATGCGGAAAGGATTAAAAAGGAGAAACAGTTTGTGATAACCATTACATATTGTCACGGTAGCGGGCCGCATGGTCGTTAGGGTTCAGGGGGAACCGTTAGGGGTTTACTGCGTTCGAGTATCAGGTACATATGATAGATAATAGGCAACCGACAAATCCGGATATCCGAATCATCACTAGAGCAACACACTACGGATTCACCCCAGCCTTCTACACTTCTACTTAACTTAATTCCGCGATTCCCAGACAAACCCTGACAAAGAGTCATACCGGCGAGTTCCACTTTAACATGTGCAGCACCCCTACATATTTACATAGGTAGGGCGCAACGCAGGTACAGGCAAATGAGCCAAATGACTCAACATGATTCCAGTCGGACAAATTCATGGCCGGCCGCTCGCGATCTGACGATCATGACAGAAGTCCAGGTTGCAACAACGTGAACTCGGGGTCGGGGTCGGGGGTCGGGGGGACCCTTCAACGCACATGGCATGCCACGCGATGCGATGCGCATATGCATTGTAACGCTACAACACGACGAAGGAGAAGTAGAAGTCAGAAATTATATCGGATGAAACAAAACGAAACAAGCTTAGACTAAACGTTCCCGGTAGTGTACGAGGATTAATGGCAGGTACCGACTATAGAGGACCGTTACTGCTACTGCTACTGTAAGTTCAAGTAAGGTCTGAATAAGGTAATCTCGTGTATGTAAGTTTATTATTCATGGTGAGCGACGGGGTGGGGGGATCGCGTGGTGTGGCCATGATCTTGGCCGGGCAGATATGATACGATGCGGGAATAATCAATCCCCCCAGTGTCAAAAATATAATTATAGTGGATTCAGGTACGGGACCCAGAACCATAGTGAAATCTAGATCCGGGGATTCTTGGCCTCGCTCCCATTGGCATAATGGTACGAGTGCCTTGCGGTTCCTTCACGGCGCGTGGAATTACCTTGTACCTAAAGGGTATTTACGCGAGCTTGTGTACGTACATGTCTACTCTGAGTAAATATCAAAGCCTTCAGAATTGCTTCTTTGGGATATTCGGTGAATGTGATGTGTGATGAGTGGTGTGATGGCTTGATCCGTTTGGAGTGCGAGGCCTATATTCTGCCTATGATACTCGAGTATTTCACCGAGAGAAGGAAGAGAAAGAGTTTGGTACCGAGGGACATGGTGGTAAGCTTACAACGTTCTCGTCCGAATCATTCGCATGTTTATCGTTGATTCCCCTTTCTTCGGGGCTTGAGGATACCCTGATCTAGTGTTTGAAAGCTAAGGCTAATAACTAAAAATTTGAGGCAGGCATTTTGAGATGCCTTACGAGAATGTGCCTTAGGAGAACGTATAGTTTTATTAGCTTAGCTTGGCTTTCATCAAAAGCCGTTTGAAGTTCAGGTGCAAGCCAAGATACACGTACAGAACATGGCAATGCTTTTAGCGCGAAGTGACTTTCGACGTATGTGGATCCGCTAGCGATTAGCTCTGAGTATAGCTCTAGATAGTTCAAATCAATCATGAATTCACCACTATTTTGCAAATGTGCCACATTTTTCACCTATCTAGGTATTAGAAGTTCCCGAGAGGGAGACAGTTCCCTTTGAAATAATCATATACATATTGCACAAGCCACTAACTTGTTGAAGACTTTCCAAATTCCCCACCACCTAAACAATTGACCCTCTTATCCAAGCAATTGATAAGTTGGGATATAAATAGCCGACCTGTCATTGTCCCCTGCGTTTAGATCAGATCATAGGGCTGAGATACAGTAGTGCATTGGTGAACCTGGTGGCCTTAAGGCCATTATATCATTTTTTTGAGAGAGGGTGATTGGAGGGTAGAGAGTGAGATTTACGAAGACTGCATAATCCTGGGAGGAAACGTGTTATGGACGATCGGTGGATGGAATCTGACGAGATGTATTGTACTGTTACTTTGTATTTCTTGTTCCAAATATCTTTGGTAACTTTGCAACCCACTACCATGGTAAAATGATATGCATCTAAAAGTACTTTGGTTATTTACAATAAAATCATGTACGAAATGATAAATAACGAATCATCTACACTTCACTAGCTAAACGCGCCAAAATGATCCCAGCTCCTCCAAGTGCCAAAGAAAGGCATTCATGGATCTCGGGAATGGGAATGGATTTCGATGTGATGACCATGACCATGCTCCACCAAAAGTACATGTAAGATCTAGCAACCACTCCACTCACATACCGAAAAATAGAATTTGGGGAGTAATCACCACCACATTTTCGTGTGTACAAGTGACTGCAAAGCTCGGTCCGCGAGGGAGGCTGAGAAATTCACATCGTCCCTATCTAATGTACTTACAATGGGTATCTGACCTTGCAGCAAGTAAGTAGTGAGTGCTTATCTTAATGACTGGTGAGTTCAAAAACAGAAGCCGAAGGACCTGAATGGATCAGGGAGTCATAGGACGCAGATGAATGGATTTGTCAGGATCTGATGGGGGTTTTCTGGAGTTACTGCAGGTTCATTACCCAATTTCTTATCATCTTATTATTTTTCTGACCTTCTTACCTCCTTACCTTCTTACCTACCCAGGTCTTCACAGCCTGGAAATACATCTTATTCATACCTTAGCGCAGATTGCACATGGATTCCAAGGGTTCGCGGATTCACAGAGATGCTAATGCTAACGGGGGCCTGAAGAGGATGAGGTGAGGCGTTGTCGTCATGATGAGTTGGGGATGCTCTTGGGTGATACCGAGATGTGAAAATGGAGGGAGGAGGAGGAAAGTATATAGAGGGCTGTGGTTTCCTGAATTGAGGTTTTTATTATTCTCATCATCATACTCAATCTTCAGTACAATACCATACCATACAATACCATACAAAGTTTCACATCAAACAAACAGTCTTCTCTTTGCACTCACTATCCAATACACTCACTATCCAATACTACTTCAATATCATCAACTCACACACCTCATAAATATCAATATCAACATCTATATCAACCACTCACTTCACCACCAATACCACCAACCAACACTCACCTCCCCAATATAAAAATGGCAGCCCAAACCTCCACCACATTCTCCACCTCCTCCCCCACAACCCCCCTCAACTACGGTCGAGGCGGCTACAACGGCCCCAACAAAAACGACGAAGAAGACAATTTTCGACCCAGCATCTCCTCTCTACGTCGCGGAGACGATGATGATGAGGAAGATGGACGTGGAGGATACAATTAAATCATTTATCCTCTCTCCTCATCTCCTCTCTTCCACTCTCCTCATCTCTTCCTCTCGTCTGCATTAGACAAGACACCTTACCTATCTTATCCATCCCACAACTACACCTACAACCACAACCACACTCATACCTTCGGCTAACCCAACCAACCCCTTCATCATTCTCGGCTCTTAAGTTTTAACCTTAAGTTTTGCAGCGAATTTCATCCCAGCGATTTCAGCGACACAATAGATTTCTAGATTGGCAAACACAATACCGCTCATCTTTCTACATATTTCCACTGCACAGCATTACATTATAGACAGCATTTTACAAAAATGGTCTCGCGACCACTGCATAGCATTTCCCGGCGCTTTTATCTTCTTTTTTTTTATCGCATACTTTGTTTCATTCACGGCATTTACAATACAATCCAGCATTTCAGCAAAATAGATTCTCTCTTCATCCTCACGGATTATTTTCCCTTTTATTTCATTTTATTGCATTTATTTTCTTTGCTTTTTATTCACATCAAACCCTCCAATCCATCAAATATTCTGCAGGTGCAGGTGCATGCAGCACTCAGATTGGCGAGTTGGTTCTTGGATGCATTGCAGCTAGCTTCTCTACAGTAGCTGCATATCTATCGGATATGGTGTGGGTGGTACCGTACGGATATGGAGATTAGCGATTTTGAAGGAGAAGGGGAAGGAGGAGTCACATTTTGGGGGCGATATCTTGAAGAGGAAAATTCAGGATCGGGAGTTCAGATGAGATGAGATTGGCGGTTTTGAGAATGGATGGATGGATGAATCATGATGCATTTTAATGGAGTTTTTGATTATAATTTGGGCATTTTCTTGGGGGTTGGTTACATTACATTGCATTGCATTGCATTAGATAGATAGATCTTCTTTTTCCTTGTCTTCTTCACATTATACCTTTTTGTATTATTAACACATGGGGCATTTCTACTTCTACTTCTAAAGATAAAAATCAAACATCTTCATCTCCATCTCCATCTTGATCCTATAATCTGCCTTGCAAATCTGCGTTATGAATCCTATCATGCCTCTATTTGCCAACACAAAATCTGGGGGCCAAATAATTAGTCTACTGTACGTACAGAAAACGTGAAAAGAGGACCCCTCCGTGACTTACTTTTCAAAAACCACACCTAGAACTTCTTCGACATCGCCAGCTTCACCCCTACCAGTAATTCGAGACAAGCAATTGGCTGCGGATCTAAGATGCTCAGCCGCCAAAACTATATCCGCTTCTCGTTCATGATCGACATGCTGCTGTGCTTCGTTCATAAAATCCAGCAGATGGGCTGAGCAGGCTGTGAGAAGCTGTCGCTGACGTTCGGTAACTCCAAGTAAATCCTCGAGATCGGTTGGTAGAGATGTCATATTACTGAAGATATCAACAATTTCGTTGACAAATTGACTAATACTTCCATGAGTTGTTGATCCTTGAGCATGTTTACAGGATATTGACGTCAATGGGACGACGTCCTGAATAAATATGCCTGCTTGAGACTTTTTGAAGTCACTTATAAGTTCTGACAGTATCTCAGGGGTTACCGAATCAGACTTATTAATAACAATCATGAATTTCAAGGCTCGAGCCGCGATTTCGAATGTTTCAAGATCGTAGCGAATTTCCCACCCGTTTCGCATGTCTGACCACTCTATACTGGCGAGGGCAATAACGACATCTGACTCATTCGCCTTCGCCTTCGCTCTTCGAATACCCTCCTGTTCGATATGCCCAATTACTGAGTCATTCTCGCCACTTCCATGTCGTGGAACTTGAGTCCTTAATCCGGCGGTATCCGCAAACGTGCAAAGGTACCCGCGAATATCTAAGTTAACCTCCACAATGTCTCGAGTCGTTCCGGCCTCTTGGCTAACGATTGAAGCTTCTCTGCCGACAATTTGATTTAGGAGGGAACTTTTGCCGGCGTTGGGTGGTCCTAACAGAGAAATCCTAATTCCTTTTTTGAGCAATTCTCCCCGATGACTTGCTGATTTATGTGCGGCAATTGATTCCACCATGACCTCAACTTGAGCCGTAACATTCGATAATAACTCTGCGGGCGATTCGTCGAAATGTTGGTCCTCCGAGAAATCAATCAACGCTTCCAATTCTCCGCGCGCATACAACAATTGTTGACGCCATGCCTCGTATGTACGTCCAAGTTTCCCAGAATTTCCTCGCACAGCGGCGCGACGCTGTTGTTCTGTCTCGGCAGATAAAGTATCACTTAAAGCCTCCACTTGCGCCAAATCCAACCTGTTGTTCTGAAATGCTCGACGTGTGAATTCACCCGGCTCGGCATATCGAATTGTCGCAGGAGATGTACATTGTGGGATTGCGCCTAGAACTGCTTTGACCGTAGCTGGACCTCCATGTACATGCAGCTCCAATACATCTTCACCAGTAACAGTTTTAGGGGCGGGGAAGTAAAGGACTAACGCATCGGAGTCGAGGATGTTTGAGGTGGAGTTGGGTGCTTCATAGAGTGTTCTGACAGCGGCATATCGTGGTTTGGGTATCGGTTTCGATGGGCACAAGCTTTGATAAATCTACAATAGTCAATACCAAAGAAAGGTCGGTAGGGCGGAATAGAGCTATCATACATCGAGGCATGCAGAGCCAGAGATACGTATGATAGCTATACCGGCTCTGCCAGCCGCTGTTGAAAGCGCATATATTGTATCATCAGTAAATGCAATGGTATTTTCTGTTTGGGTATGATAAAAGGTCTTGAAATAGTCAAATCGACAAGGCAGAATTAAAGAATTGGTAGGCCGAGCTCCTGAAGCAAACGCCCAGCGACAGACAATTGTGTTGAATCTGCGGTGTATAACATTGCACCGAAAGTGCCTAGACCTTGAAGGCACATTGCGAAGCATTGACGAGCATCAATTTCGATTAAGACTTCGATCAAGTATGAATTGGACAGAAAATAGTAGTGAAGGAAAACAAGTTGATGAATGTTTGATTGATTTTCTCCATGGTGGACAGAGTGGAATTGCATATCGAGGTCTCTCGCCTACCGAAAAATTTCTACCCCGCATTACCGGTGAGCTTGCTCGCGTATTTGAGCAAAATCTGCCCGACCTCTAGATTGCATCTAGGCTCACCGGGAGCTCTCGTATGTACCTGAGAAGATACTAAGAACAAACATATGATAGATGTTGTTGGATCTTCATGTGTAACCTGAAACTGGGAGAATGCTATACAACATCTAAGGCATCAAAAGAGTAGTTCGTCTTTGGCCCGACACTCTATGCATCAGTCAAGATGACATCGAGGAAAGAAACCGACATATGAGATTCATGCATCGATCGCCTCCGCTGCCTAGGATACCATCGTTTTCTTGGGTAAATCAAGCGAACGTTCGGAGAATGCCCTCAACGTTGTGAACAACTCTACGCTTCAAAGGTTTGTAGATGCTACTGACAGGATGGCTTTAGTGTAATTCGGCATTTGAAGTGCTTTAGCACCCTTACCGGCATCAGACAGTCGCGATATGGTTTATATACACTCTGGTATTGCTTGGAAAGTTTAATGGTATTCGAAAAGTCAGAATAAGCTATCGAAAGCCGGCGGAGTTAGAATACTCGAGTGTTGTCAATTGACTTATAGAAAACATATATAGTTATGAAGTTTTGAGTCACGCAGAACAATATCAGACTTCCTGCATCGATCGTGACCCACGGACAATGCCATCGTTGGTACCGGATTGAAGGATTAAATAAGCAGAGGATAATTGGCTGAGTTTGACCGGTCGATGAGAAAGTATTGTCTCGAATAATGCGTATCTGGACGATGATTGAACACTTATTTGCGAGGGCTACAAATCTGGCGTCAAGGGAAAGCAGGATAGGTCGAGTACTTGGAGCTTTGGGGAAATAAAAGCCTCTCAGGTAGCATTTTGAAATTTTCACATCTTTTGATATTCATGCGAATTGATGCCGAAACCATAGAAGGTATTTCTTGTGTCGTGCCAGAAGAGGCACGACCCGGTGACTTTGTTGATCAAGTTCAGTTTGCTGTATATTGAGGCAAATTCAGTCAATGATATCTAAGTGTAACAGAGGTTAAAAAAGGTGGCTAGATGCCTGTTGCATACTGTTTATCTGGTAGAATAATCAACTGTGTCGAATATGAACCTTAAAACTATCGACGACAAAATATCACAGATTCAGGAGAAAAAGGCCTCGGGTTTCGGGTCACCCAAGTTCAAACATTTCAATTTCGTTGGAGAATATTTTGTCGATGAATTAATGAGCAATGAGGCTAGTAAAAGTATGAACAGGAGAACGCAAGAGAAAAGATAGCATTCGCCATACAATGAAGGAAAAGGAACTGATCTCTGACGAACTGGCATCAAGATCTAATAGGCAAGCTTTTTTCCCTTTTGAGTGCTACAAATATTCTATTGCACTTATGCAAGAACACCAGTGGTCTATCGAATCCATCTTAAATACTCTGCAATTAGCCTCGTGTCAGGCTAGCCTCATCCGCCCCTTTTTTTTCTACTCGCTTCGGTAAGAGAGTTTAGTTACGCTTCTACATTAGATTTTCATGCTTCCTCCCTCAATCTCTGTCTCTAGCCCCAGTTGCAAATTTCCATTTGAATTATTTTCAGTTCTTATTACTGAGTGTACTTTATTCCAGATTCCTATCTATCAGAATAACTAACCTATTAGTATTCGGTGCATCTATACGGCATGACAAGAGAGTAAGTATATAAACACTTGTTAAACTTTCGCGACAAGAGCTTTTATCTTCATTCAATCGACTTTGAGTTTTCATTGACTAGGTTTTGATATTTATAATTGTCTTCCACCTATACAGTATATAAATCAAGAATTGAGTTTGTCATTATATAAAAAGTTTCAGTTTGGAAATTGTATAACGTAGTTTATCAGTGCGTCGCGCATATCAGTGCCTCGCGCACTTTTTCACTACTCAATCATTTCAAAATATTATTCAATAATCACAACATATAAAATTAATTGAAACTATTCAGAATCTGATAAACTAGAGTCTTCTAAATCCTCCTGACAAGTTCGTATATTATGACCAGTTTTACCACAAGAGCCACAACGATGTAAAGTTGATTGTTCCCCATTTGAACTATCCCTTTTAAAGCATTCGTCGTATCGAATCTGATTATCTATATCGGTCTGTAATATAATATCACATCCATCTTGTATACTAAGTGTTCCTCCTTAACGAATTCGACTCTTTTTAGCTTTACAACGTTTACTCAATACCTCATTTGCCTTTCGAAGAGTACGAATCTCAGCACTTATAAGTATCATCTCATAAGCTAATATCTCTGTACCCTTAGTTAAAGCTGTAACTGTTTCAAATATAGATATAGGAGAACTTCCTTGATATTGTACAATTCGATTTTTAACTAAGGTTGATTGCGAAAGAGTATCGTTCGAGTTGTGAGGTATTTGAGAAACCCAAGGATCGAGCTCTACAAAGGAGGATCTGGTAGGCGTAGATGTTTGTAATTTGATATCTAGCTTAGAAATAACAGCTTGAGGATCAAAGGGTATTAATCCAGCTCCGTGGAATCCAGATAATCCATTTTGAATAGTTATTGATTGTAGGTATGCTGCTTTGAAGGCTATAAGGAATTCGACCTTGGTGATATGGTTGATATAAGCCTTAATATACCTCTCAATTTGTTGGCCATATGTTCGTTTTAAAACACTAAAACATTCGATATCGAATGATTGAGTAATATGCGAAGAATGAGAAGGTAATGAAAGAGTTATAATATTGTGTTCTTTGCAATATTCTTGAAATGCAATCGATTCGTGGCTTTCGTGTCCGTCTAATACTAGCATTCGATAACCACCTTGTTTTCGAGCAATAGTATGCTTATCGAAGTGTTTAATCCACTCTAAACCTGTCTCATTGTTCGTCCATCCATTATTAGTGACTTTAATCACCCAATCAAGTGGGAGATCACTCTCAGTATACCAACTCGAGAGGTGATTTTTGCCCTTAATCACTAAAAATGGAGGAATGCTTTCTCCTATACCATTGATGCATACAATCGCTGTAGCCCATTCTCGATTACCTGGCTGTATTGCTTTGTTTCTGCCATGTCGTTCAGCATTAGTTACAACCATCCCAGGGCATATAATACCCATCATAAAGCCTGTTTCGTCGAAATTGTAGAAATCGCAATCGAGAATACCGTATTTCGCCTGCATATTCGATACTAATCGAAACCACCCTTCAATAAGCTTTGGATCTTCGCAAAGAGCTCTTTGGAAATCATAAACACGATTAAAACGCGTCTTTAATTCTGGCCAGTGTTGTACGAATCGATGCGCCCAGAGCTTTCCAACGTAGTGTGCTTCACGAGTATCGAGAATATCATTCGCTATATCTTCCACACCACTCAATCGAGGGGCAAATCCTTGTATATCTATATCGAGGATATATTGAAGAATCACTTCTTCTTCTAATTTAGTTAATTTTTGAGTTGGTGGTCGATATTCCTGTAGTGGGGTTAAACTGTTCATTCGATTCCGAAGTGTTGTTTCAGGGACATTGTAGAGTTTAGCAGCACTCTGGCGACTCATTTTTTTTTGATTTATTAATAGCTTCAATAGCTAAGATAATCCGAGCTTCTTTTGAAGTGTTATTCATTGTTGATTGTTGATTAAACGCGTGTTGAATTGAAGAGTTGCAAAATAGTGAAAAAGTGCGCGAGGCACTGATATGCGCGACGCACTGATAAACCACGTTAATCTTATATTGAATTTTTATAATGCTTTCACGTTGGAAGTAACTTGTAAGATAATTTTTGAAATCTATAGCCGTATACTTCTACTTGAGTAGATGAAACGTTTCCGAAGAATACGAATAATACTTGTATATGTGATTAAGTCTACTCGAGCACTATACATTTCTCAATCCTGGGCCCGTTCAATTAATAATATAATATAGCACGAGGGTTCAGGCGTACCCTCCTGTTTGTTCTCAGCATCTATTTTTAATACTCACTACTCGTAGAATGATGAGTTGGTACTCTGTATTAGTCAGCTAATCATACTGAGTATAGTTCAGATACTGAGTAGATCAAATCGATTATGAACTTACTACAAATAATACTACTACTACAAGTACTCCATATCATACCATGTAACAGCAGCACATTCGTTGTACGGAATTACAGTAGAAATCCATCAAAAACACTCCAGGCCTTTCAAATTTATATCAAACACCAGCAAGATGGAGAAATTAGTGTAAAAAAACCATCGATTTGACTCAGAGATAAAATCCAATAACTAAATATCACATCTTGTAAGAAACCTCTCTTTGACAACGACAACGAGAGGCATTATGAAACCCTATCCCTGCGCCCTTAACTATTCTAGATTGTATCATAAGCCCATGACTCGTGGTCCCTAGATCCAACATCTTAACTCCAATGCTCTACCCAGCCCTGTATTATAGACGCCCAATGTCCATCCAAATCCAACCTAGCCCCAAATATTAGACCCCCATCGCCTTAAGTTTCAAGCCTACAGCCCAGCCCAGCCCTTCAATATCCACCCAGTCTGAGCATTGACCCCTCAATGCCTAATCCTTTTTGAAGCATTCTCAGCGTTAGATGCCAGCAAGCTTCCAATCAAAAGAGCTTCAATCACGTTCTTCATCCTCTCCGGATTGGTGCCTGCGAGCGACGCTGAGGCTTGCTCATCGGCCAATGGGATGCGATTCTCGATAGCGGCTTGCTTACGAATTTCCGGATCGATTCCCACGACACGATGTAGCTTGCTATGGACTATCGCATTGTCATAGTCAGGATCTCGCAGGACATCTAAAGCATCTAGAATGTCGTCGCCTGATGTACCAAGCGCTGCTAACGCATCGTAGACTATAACCTTGCAAAAAGGAAGTATGGCTTCTTTTTCGGGGCTCGGATCGGGGAGGATCTCCTTATCTAGAAGAGGGTTGTCGTAGAACGTGCTTCGGTTTTCCAAGAACCACTTTTGATTGCGTCCTTCGACAACCGGGTTAGGGTTTCCCTCGCCATCTACCCTGCAAGCACCCGCATAGTAGGCTAGATTCTGACGTTTCTCAATGTCGTATAAGGCGACTCCTAAGGGGTGTTTTGTAGCGGCTAGATCCTTGAATATCGTATAAGTGAGGGGGGTCTCGAAGGCTGCATTCCTGGTATACACGACTGAAGGGACTCCTTGTTGGTATAGGAAGTTATGGAACTCTTCGGCATCTGATCGCATGGCGTCATTATTAGCTACGCTATCGGCTACGAGGACTGTGTAGCGTTGGGGGCTTGCTGTGTATAGAGAGTAACGTCGCTTAGTTTTGAGGTGATACTTAGTTTTGAGGTGATAAGCGCCTTGTAGGATGACCTTGGATGTAATCTGCTCCAAAAGTAGTGATTGTGAGTTGGAATATCGTTGTAATGATCTCTTGAACTCGGTTATGTCTTGTAGCGAAGATAGAAGCAAGAAGGTTAATTTATAACCGCTTTTCTTGGCGTTTTTAACAAGCTGCCGCAAGAGATCTATTCCTTTCTTTTGAGCAGGATATGGTTCCTTCCCCATAATCCCTTCAGGGAACTCATAAGCCGGCGGTGGTTTGTACGTGTCCCCGTCCTTTTTGGGGATGGGTGGTTCACCTTTAGTCCCTCGACCAACAGGTATGTCCCTAAGTCCGAGGAGGTCGAGAGCTTTACGTGCGAGGTGTGCCCTCAAATCCTCTGGAGTCAGATTAGCGATAAACCCTTCGAGTTTTATAGCGCCCAGGCGATGGAGTTCCTTCAAAAGTATCATGGCAGTCAGGTCATCATAGTCTTTGCCGATATCCGTGATGACAACAACGTGTGGAATCTCATAGCCCTGGGAACGTGCAGAGACTATACGTATGATATCTTTGTAGATGGTTGTCTGTTCAGGTGTAAGGCCATCTGGTATAGATGGAGAACTGTTAAGGTTGGACACATCGCTTTTGTGAAATGGGTTCTTGAATTTTGAGGTAATATAATCCATATTGTATTTGTAAACTAAGTTCTTAAGGTTTGATGTTATATGGTGTATGATATTGGAAGTGTTGTGGATGTATGAAGTAGAAGGATCCAAGGATGAGGAGAAGAAACTTAAGTAACTCCCAAATGCCCAGTACCAGTCATACAGTAACAAAGATAAAGTCTCAGTGACTCGAATAATTGTCAAAGGAATGATTCAAACTCTTCCAAGGCTGGAAGCTACTCTAAACCAGTGAATGAAGCATACCTCTCGAGAGTCCTAAATCCTGTAAATTATGAGTGTTTCTAAGACCAACATACGGTGTTTAAAATACAGGTGCTAGGCAGTTGTTTGTAGGCCGAATTTGATTTTGAATGAGCCTTTGAACCATGAATATAGCGCTTATTTGGCCAGTTAAGCGCTCACTTTCATTTAATTGAGCATATTCATGGTGTATGGGTTCAATGTTATGATTCAATGTCAAACATATTGGCAGTGAAGCTGACGTTGTTAATGCAACACTGTGGCGCTATGGCCAATCATATACAGTAACGTTACAGTACAAGGGTAGCGAGATAGCTTAGATAGATAGCATAGGTAACCCTTACCAAAATCTACCGCGTCGCAAAGCTATTCAAAAATAAGTCACTCATCATGGATCTTCTATCTTCTATACGCAAATCTGGCTCACGAGGAGGTGTAAACTTTAGCTGGGATGAGGTTCAAAGCTCTCAAGTAAGGCCCTATGCGGTCAGTAACCTAATTGTCTTCACTTTACTAATACAGCATTCACGCAGCACCGCGAGAATTATCTTGGCCACTCTCTTATGGCCCCAGTTGGTCGATGGCAGAAGGGCAAAGATCTGAACTGGTATGCGAAGGGAGACTCCGATACGACTGGTAGCGAGACGGTAGAAGAGAAACAGGCACGAGAAAGGAAGGAAGAGATTCGGAAGATTAAAGAGGCCGAGGAGGATGCTATCGCAAGGGCTTTAGGACTACCGGTCACACAACGAGGTGAAGGCACAGGGTCAAATAATGTGGAAGTTGGAGAATTGAAGAGAGTTATTAAGGAATCTGAGGAGGGAAACGATGATATTGAAGGCATGGGAAAGGGCACCGGATTTGGCGATTTTGTGGGCAACACCGATGGACAGGACCTGTTGCAGATAAAATCTGAGGAGCAAAGGGGTGGACTATTAATGAATGACCACAATAGTGAAGGGCTCAACCAAGCTGGAGGTAACAGAGAAGGGCGATCAAAGGATAAGGATAGACGAAAACACAGAAGCCGAAGTCCAAGTAGGGAGCGGAATAGAGAACAAAGACACAGGAAACATCGACATCGATCAAGAAGTGGAGAGCGGGAAGAACATAGGCGCCGGCGTGATGATAGCCCTCGAAGAAGAGAAAGAAGTCGTAGCCCGGAGATCCGACACCGCAGATATAGAAGCAGAAGCCCTGATCGAAGATATCGGCCAAGGAAGGACGACGAGGTTTCTAGAAACAACAAACAATGTGATCGTAGGCCTCGCAGAAGTCACTCACCAGAAAGACGTGGTCGAGAAGAGAGATTACCAGAGAAACGGCGTTAATTTGTTACATTACACATACTGGGGGGTTATTGGAATGGCGTTGCGTGGATAAAAGTATACCCATGGCAGCACTCGGTATGCTCATATAATACACATCTACATGTGTAAGGAAAGAAATGGGGTATATATTTGCCTAAATTATTTCATTCTACTTCTAAATATCACGGAAAGCTATCAAATCTGTACCGTATTCACATCATTGAGTTTTACTTTGAGTATCATTTATCGGGTATACCGCTTAAAGCCGAAGATATGATGGACCGATACAGCCTTAGATACACCTTCCTGCAGGTGCCTTTCATAGACATTCGAATATGATCACACTCGGTTTTGAGCATTATTAACATTTTGCATGTTCAGCGTTTTCCTCTAATATATTCATTCAAGTAGATTACGATCATAGCATACGGACACGACATCTGTTCACACCTTTCATGTTCGAGAATCCGTTCGACCGTTCGAGAAAGATAGTGTGTCTCAGCCTTCCATCAGCCTTCCCCCAAGCTCACCACCTTCACATCACAGGTCCTTATCGTATATATACTTCAGAAATAGAGCTGTTATTCTACACTCATGCATGATTCACCGAATACAATAAATCTGTGGTTGATTGTGTAATACCTCTTTGGACATCCAGAAGCGCCATATCGTATCAAGGGGAGGGGGGCTAATCAACAATACTGCGAGCCCAGAAAGGTTCATTACAATACAGAGTATGGCCATGGATTTCACAAAGCTCCGGGCAGCTGCGCTGAACGATGGTGACGATGAAGAGGCCGTTACAGTCAATACGAGAGCTCTGATAGACAAAGTCCTTGCGAGATATTCTGGAGAATGGACAACTTTACGAGAATTAATACAAAATGCTGCCGATGCGCAGGCCACGACCGTCACAATTAGATTTGAAACCTCGCCGTCAATACAGGTCCCTACCCCTAACACAACGAATCAATCAGAAACATTGAAACACATTCTTCTAAATCATACACTGAAAAGGTTATTGGTCACCAATAATGGGCAAGCATTTGGAGTCAACGACTGGTCGAGGCTGAAGAGGATAGCTGAGGGGAACCCTGATGAAACGAAGATTGGAGCCTTCGGTGTAGGTTTCTACAGTGTCTTTGCGGATTGCGAAGACCCGTTCGTCAGCTCTGGCGATCAGGCTATGGCATTTTACTGGAAGGGGAACTCCCTATTTACCAAGAAGATACATTTACCTCCCGATGAAGCGAATCCCAATACCAGCTTCGTCCTTGACTACCGGAATAATACGACCCCAATGCCGAATTTGCTCTCTGTGGCCCAGTTTCTGGCGACAAGTTTGACATTCGTGGCTCTACAGAGTATCGAGTTACTTGTTGATGATTTCAAGATCATGACGCTGAGGAAAAAGTCGGCACCGAGTTATGATGTTCCTATCGCGAGGGATGCTGAGACAAAGTCGAAAGAAGGTCTCATGAAAGTACAACGTCTTGAGAGAGAAAGCGTGCAGATGGACGCAACTTTCATGAATGTTGTGGGTTGGAAACCTGCCAAGCCATCCACATCAAAACCTTCTTATGATAATAGCTACGGGAGCAGTTCTGCCGATGTACCCTCCCTCCGCTCCTTTTTCTCCAGACTTACTTCAAATAATGTCCAGGCTCAACAGAAAGCGAAAGCTTTACAAGAAGAAAAAGCGATGCAGGAAGTGCTGCTGGAAGACTTGACAGCTTTAACAACCACTAACGTATTTCTACGTGTCACCACGGCGACAATCAAGACATACATTCAGCCAAGCTTTGCAGCGGAGTTGGAACGAGCCACCAAGAAACCACCTCCTAAGACGACCAAATTGGCCATTCTCACAGCTTCTTATGATGAAACTGAAGCATCTGCACATGACAATCTAGTCTCCAAAAATGTTGACGTTTTTGCATCTGTCCTTCCGGGGAAGAAACCTGGCGGACGGATATTCATCGGTTTTCCGACCCACCAAACCACTGGTGCTGGTATCCATCTATCGGCGCCATCCGTTATTCCAACAGTAGAGCGAGAATCCATTGATCTGAATGCACGATATGTGCGAACATGGAATATTGAGATGCTTCGAGTTGCCGGAATCATGGCAAGATTAGCATTTGCTAATGAAATGTCAGATCTCGCAGACAAGGTTAAACGTGCTACTCAATCCAACGGAAATGAAAATAAAGTCACGAAACGCGAGATAGAACAGTTCATGCCCGAAGCAGAACATATTCTGAAAACTTTCACATTTGGAGATTCTACTCCCAGTTCTCAAGTATCGCAGATCATTGAAGAAGCATTTTGGACAGCATATAAAAAGGCATCGATCGAAGTTTATAGCACTAGGAATGTTCTGCCCACCACAAAGGTTCGGTTGGCAACAGAAGATTTGAGTGGATTTGTTGAGGGAATTCCTGTGATTCCAGATGCGCTTGTTAAGTCCGAATTCGTGCAAAAGCTGAAGGACTTTGAGCTCATCACTGAAATTACGATTAGCGATGTCAAGCAGGAGCTTGAAGCGAAGGCACTTACCAAGGAGCAACTGATCCAATTCATTAAGTGGGCGGGCCATAAAGCTGTCCTTGGAGAAATTGATAGCGTGACTGTTCACTCCTTATTTGACGTTGCCGTCGCCACTCTAGGAGATGATAATACCCAGGGTGGAATCATCGCACTAGGCAGCGTCACAAATTATCTAAATGTTAACAGGATACCACCCGAGGCTATACTTCCTCCAACGACAATTCCTTTCGAATTCACTCGAGAATGTCAACCAAACGAACTCCAGGCCCTCGGATGGGAGCCCCTTGAGATCGTGCCATGGTTACGTTATTTGATAGAGACAAGAAATCGGAACGGACCTGCGCAAAACATGACTACGACACCACAATTTGCGGCCAAGGTACTTCAAATTATTTCAAAGTCATGGGAAGGCATGAGTGCCAACGCCAAAGCTTGTGTCATATCACTGCTGTCGACGTTGACGGTGATCCCAACGAAGTGCGGCATGAGGAAACCAGGCGAAGCTTTCTTCGAAAGTGTAAAGCTTTTCGAGGACCTACCCACTCTTACAAATTGTCCAGGTGTCAAGGAGAAATTTCTTGCTGCCATCGGAGTACGAAAAACGGTAGATCTTGAGACAATTTTCGTTCGACTTCTCGCACCTAGCACGCAAGCTAAAGAAGGCGAAATTTCCAAGACTAGTCGCCACATGGATCTGATCAAGTACTTAGCGTCTGTAAAAGATGATATTCCGGTAGAGGATTTCAAAAGATTGAAAGAATCACAAATCTGCCCTGCGGAAGCTGGCCCACCCGGCCTTGAATCATCACAAGGTACCGCTCGGATGTACAAAGTTCGCGACCTCTTCGAGCCTAAAGATGCCCTCAGAAGCTTAGGACTACCAATAATTCAGTGGCCAGGACCCTCTTTTAGCTACAGATCCACCAGCAATGAAGGCCGTTTCTTGACTACGCTTGGACTGAGATCCTTCCCTGCCACCCCTGAGCTCATTCATCTGATGTCATCAAGTGATTTCATCCTCCGAGACAAGGCCATGGCCTACTTCATTGCAAATCATCACATAAATGGCTATGCGAGTTTTGAAGTTAGCTCCAGTGATAAAGCGATTCTCCCCATTGAAGGTGACGAGAAGCGAAGAGTCAAACCTGTAGAGTGCTTCACGAATGAGAAGAGCTCTGTTCTTGGTTTCAACATTTTGCGACAGGACCTTCGAATTCATGCCAATAAATTTGGTGTCGCCGTCGATCCTTTAATTTCAGAATGCGTCGATCGACTAATCAAGAATCCCCCAAAGACTCGTCCTGACGCTATTACACTTTTTGGATATTTTTCGAGCAGACTCGGCGAACTGGGCTACAACAGTTGCATTGCATTTGGAAATTCCGCCATCGTCCCTGTACCCGATCATCGAGAAACAACGAAAGGGCTCTTTAACGAGAAGGCGCAGTATGCTAGCACGATCAAGTATCTTACACCTCAACAATGTTACTTGGGAAGTTCTTCAGAATACAGCGAGATTTTTGACTTCGTCGATTTTGGGACTGAAGCCAACACATTCCTACTGAAGTGCGGGTCTAAGAGTGAGCCTACTAAGTTGGAGCTCGCTGCTCTGGTTTGTCAAGAACCTGCTCGTCTTCTTGGAATCATGCAGAGTCCTGAGAAATATTTGAACCTCTTACGATCTCTTGCAAATGATTTACCCATGTTGAAACGAAATAAAGTTCTTTTTAAACAAATGAGGCTCTCTAAATTCCTTCTTGGATCCAAGGAAATCTCAGCTGCAAAGGAGAAGCCCAAGTCGACCAGCCTCATAGACGAGCAAGAATCTGAGGCAGAGGAATTAGAAAATGCACCACTCAAGCAGTGGCAGTTGGAGCAACCTAATAAGATTGTTGTTGTTGACGATTACAATAGCTACCGTCTTTTCAAAGAAAGTCTGGTATGTGCCCCTCTCGAGGATCGATTAGAAGAGTTCTATCTCGCACTCGGATCTGCCAACCTCAGCGACATTGTGCAAGAAGATCTCCGTGTTGGTCAGCCGGTTACTTACCAAGGAGATTCTGCCAAACTTCGGAAGCATATTCTCGAAAGATCGAAACTCTTCTTGCATGAATCACCACGAGAGAATGTAAAGCGGGACAGTCGATGGCTGGAGAAGAATTTGACGGTACAGACTGTCAGTGACATACAAGTCAGACGATCTTTGAGGGGCCACAACTTGTCGAATACGGAGAAGAGAACTGCTGCTTGTATACAAGAGCCACACCAAGGATTGCAACTCTTGGTGACCAATACATATGACACATATCAAATCAGTCTGGCTATGTGTAAGCACTTACTAGCTCGCCCACAGCAACAGTCTTATCTTACATTCGAATCCTTTCTCACTCTATCCTTGATGCAACTTCGTTCTCGTGGCTACAATGTGGAGAGAATTCTGAGAGCCAAAGCAGCCGAAGCACGAATCGCAGAAGAGGAACGCAAGCGACAACTCGAGGCTGAGCAAGAACAAATCAAAGAGCAGGAGAAGCAATGGCGACAAAACCAAAAACAAGAGGCTGCTACAGTTTCGGTGGCTGCACGAGAGGGGACGCGTCGCGATTCTTACGGTGCCATGCCTGGCGCATTTGGTTCCGATTCTCCACCACAGCCTCCAGTCAAGAGAGAAAAGAATCGTGGACTATTCTCCAACTTGACCCGTCGTTTGGGTCTTGACAGCAGCAGTGATGACTCACCGAGATCCCCAACAACACCGACACCACTACTCGAAGATAGCACTAAAAATACGCCACCACCTTATACCGAGACTGCGGGACAAAAACCTCAAACGGAAAGTGTCACCTCCAACGGCGCCATCAAACAAAACCTTCTCAACGCCATCAAATCATCTCGAGCTCACGACTCCTCAGATCTCTTCTCCGCGCCCTCTACCAGTCAGGTTAAGGAACAAGCCGAATATTGCGATTCTACTTCCGGTCAAAATCTCACCTACTTCGCTGATGCATCTAACGGCACCCGTATCTTCATATCCAACGATAGAAAAAGTCCCAATGGCCCTAATCTCGCGGATTTCCTCGCAGCCAACGTCTCTTCTCTTAATCTTTTCGCCGCCTTACTTCATGAAGCCGCCGATATATATAATTTGCCTAGGAAAGCTATACACATATTCTACGACGATCATGGGAATACTATTGCGTTTAATAGTAAGGGTAGCATCTTTTGCAATTTCAGATTCTTTCAACAGCTGCATCTCAAGAAGCTGGAATCGAAGGGCGGTGAAGAAATGGCAGAGGCGGGTGCTTATTGGTGGGTGGTGCTTGCACATGAATTGGCGCATAATTTGGTAGGGCCGCATAATTCGGACCATAGTTTTTACACGTAAGTATTGCTCTTTTTTGATGTCTTTATTTTCCAAGGGCCGCTGGTGAGCTGGAGGTGGATTGGTGAATGAGGGCAGAAAGATGAAGGATGGGTCCAGGATGAATACTAATGAGATATCCACAATAGTGAACAATTAATCGCCAACTATTTCCCAAAGATGATGGCGAGAGCAAATAAATATACAGCATCGGTGTCGTCAATGCCAATACCAATACCAGGAGATGGGAGAGATAAGCGAAATTCTAGTTCGGGTTAGTCTTAGTCTCAGTCTTGGGGTAGAATCCAAGCATGGGAAATGAATCGATGGCGCTTGTGAATATGATTATGATAGATATATCATTCTTAGGAGTACATCATGGGTGGTGCAGTAGGTGGTGCGGTACTTGCATATATAGATATGGCGTTTATGTTAGTTATTATTAGATTGATTGGGATTGATTGGGGAGTGTGGCATGGATGCTGCATAGTTTGGTGGGTGTTCGTCTTTTGTTGGGGTGGTGGGGTGGTATAGAGTAGATGGGTGTGTGGTTTTGAATATAATATAATATAATTTGTGTGGTTGTTTATTTGTTTGTGTGTTTGTTGTATGAGTTGTGTGGGCTGTGGTGTGCTATGCTGTGTGTGGTGTGGTGTATGGTGTGGTGTATGGTGTATAATATGATATGTAATTAGAGGAGATATAAAGGAAAGGAACGAGTTATTTGATCCTATGATGTTGAAATATTGAAACATTGAAATATAAATAAGATAGGTACCTATAGATGTAAATAAAATATCAATTCCAAACCTAATTACAAACAAGAATTGAAACGAAAGGGAAAATATTCAAGAGAAGCATGCCGGCGATGATATCGTTATATTATGTTATATTGTTTTAGTTGTAAGTTTTGAGATTACTACACCATCTGATGATCTAAATTGAAGGGATATTGATATCAGAATTTGGAAATATGATTAGTGATCTGTAGCTTTTACTCGAGTAATTAGTTAATGTACTCTTCGTATGAGTTACTAGCTACTAGTTAGTAGTGTACGCGAGGAGTGTGTTTGTGGAGGGAGGGGAAGGGAAGGGAAGGGAAGGGAATGGATTGTAGTGTATGAGGAGAAGTTATTGATGGACTGATATATTGATGGAGTAGATTGATAGAGTGTATTATTGAGGGTTGTGATAGGGTGTCGATATTTCTGGGAGGGGTTATGTTTGGATATCATGTTATGCGGTATCGGTATTATATGTTGATGGTGATGTTGATGTTGAACTTATGTTCAATGTTTTTTGGGCGGAGGGGGAGGGGAAGGGGAAGAGGAAGAGGTGGAATGTACTCGAGTAACTTAGTAGGGAAATATGGAGGAATGGAGGAAGGGTGGTTAGATGTTGTTTTTACATTTTGATATAAAAGATTTCCGTGGGGAAAAGGGGAAAGGGGGGGAAGGGGTAATAGATACGTCATTCTTAACGAAGAGCTAATGAGAATGAGTGGGTTTATATTGTATTTATCAAGAAGTATAAATAATCATGACACATTAGAGTGCAGGCTTAGAATATTACACCTACTGTAAATATTGCCGCAATGGAGTTTCCATAAACACTTCCTATTGCTATGTTAAGTCTTGTGGAGTTATTACCCCGCTCACAGCTCTGCTTGAAGTTTCCTGCTGTGTGGATGGATTAGAATAAGACGCGAACTTATGAAAGATTATAAGCTGGGTGGCATATCACTAACCTGATGAATAAGCTTTCGTTCCTCGACATAGACTCTACAGTCCTCTCTTCCTTTCTCGACATCCACGAACCAAATAACGATACTCGCAAACGCGCACAACGCGAATAAGAATGGAAATCCCATCCAGTTATTATTAGAACTGTTAATTATGGCTTGGATGACATTTGGGCCAATTATTGAAGACTGCTTGTTCGTTAGCTCAAGATTATGGAAATAGGTCTGATGGATAGAAGGTAAGACTCACAGCGCGATTGGTAATTCCAAATAATCCAAAGAACATTCCCTCATATCCTCGAGGGGTAAATTCACTCATCATAGTCTGTGAGTATGAATAATAAGGCGCTTGAAACAATCCAAAGACAATATTGTAGATCCAAAAGTCGTGGACGTGGTGATAGCCTACTTTATCGGACCATAATCCGATCATACCATATAAAGGAATCAAGACGCTGAATACGTTGGTGATCATGAACATTGTTTTAGTCCGAATGCCAAAATACTGTTGGATATACCAGAATGCGAATGTGGAGAAAGTGGAGGTGACGGCTTGTGATAGTCCAAGATATGTTAATTGAAGGAAGGAGAAGGAGATGACTTCGTTTTGGATGATGGAAACGAGGGTTGAGGTAGTGTTTAGGCCGTCGGCCAGCATGAAAAATGCGAGGAGATATGTAAAAGTTTGAGGGAGGTGTCGGATTTCAAGGAGGGAGAGGTAGACTTGTTTCCAGCCGATGGTCAGGTAAGAACTACCTTTTGGGATGGGTGGTCCAGGACGAGGTTGCTGGAAGAGGAACCAAGGAAGGCCGAGTACAAGCCAGTCTGTAGAGTCTTGTAAGAAGTATGATGGTATATTTACCTGAAGGTTGCTTACATGAATTGGTGAGACACAAGGCAAGATTGTTGGCAAAGAGATCCCCTTGCAATGGAAGTAGTACAGAAAGACTGAGCGCTAGTGTGAGAAGGTATCCTATATTAGAGTGAGCGGTAGAAATGTTGCTTATATGGTTTCGTTCCATGCTTTCTATTCTATCATATTCGGCTTGGTTAATCTTTCCATCTTTAAGGTCTTCGTCTCGAGCTTTACGAACGTGAGGCATATAGCGGGCTAGTCTAGGAAATAATGCAGAAAAGAACACTAGTGTCGCCTACTCAAGTAAGTTTAATGTCAAGACTTGAGTAGATCAATGGATATACTAACACCGTATGAAATGTATGATACGATGTATAATGCCATAGCAGCAGGCCATTGACTAGGCTCTTTGATGGACATCATTCCGTATTGAAAAATCCAACACTTTAACCGTCAGTGTGACCTTAATGCCCGGAATTTAGCAACTTACAACAACAGTTAAAAATAAAAACAACCATCTCCCAAAATTCCCATAGTCTGCAGCAGATCCCAAAGCCACAAATATTATCGTCATAATAGTAAAGCAAATTCCATTCGCAATTAAGACCGCACTAGAAACAGATCTCGTACCAGAACCCCAAGGGATTACACAAGCTCCTGTGGTACAATTCCCTTTCTGGATTGGTGTAATAGTGGGATCCCATCCACCTCTACTAAGAGATGATTGAAAAAGAGCTTGAGAATAGCTTCCTGGTCCTACTCCATTATTTCCCTGCAGATAGACAGTTAGTATATTCGAAATTTCCTATGGTAGAACGGCGCTCACGTTGCAATAAAGATAGTATGACCATAATTCTTTGCTTGTAGTTGTAGGTTGATCAGATGAACTTTCGTCGATACCAAACAATTGTTCATATTTATCGAGGTTCTTCTTGATGCGATGGGACTTTGTATCACCGACCTCTGCTTCGTCGCCATTTGAATTTACGGTGATATCATTGGTTTGATTGATCTCAAGAGAGTCCATACTTGTTTTTCTTCTCAATAATGGTTCTCTCGAAGGACTGCTAATCCGAGAAGAGGAAGACATCTTGATTAGAGATGCTGCTCATGATTATATACCGGTAGAGGGCCCTTGTCGTGCGAAATGTACTTGTCACGTTTCACTCTTCGGGATAGACAATCTTATCATGTTGCACCCGGCTATACTCCTCATTTCATGCCACCCTATTCGTCAATCAGACCTTTGAGACTCAGATGTGTTGTTGTTGTTGTTGTTGTTGTTGTTGTTGTGATTGTCTTTAAACGAATGGAACTTAGGCAAAGGCTCCGGGCAGATTCCGGTCTATTCACGTGACACATCCCTAACTTTATCTTTATATCGATTTGCAGCTTCCTCCCGACAGGATTCTACCTTGGGTGGCTTTTCACACACGAAATCGAAATCGGAACAGACTTGAAGCACCTCGTAATTATATTTAATGTAGATCATTTCTTGAGCACTAGACACATAGAATGACTATGGCATCTGAAGGGCCAACAACCCACCAGTGGTCTGATGAAGAGCTGAAGGAGAAAGTTGGACAGGTATGGCTCATTCCTTGATTTAATTTTCTCCTTCATTGGCAATCTTATGGCAATTTCCCTTCACCCTATCGGACTATTTCAACCTTCCCAATGTCATGAGATTGGTGGACAGACGGATAAATAGCATTTTCTTGAAGGCGATGGCCCAATCGATTATCATGGTGAATGCTGATTATACCATCTGGCAACATCTTAGCTTTTCATTGTTGGATTTGATGGCCATGTTGCGAACGACAATATTAAAACACTCATCAGAAGTCACAGAGTTGGGACCATTGTACTCTTTCAGAGAAATGTTTCAGATGCGGCTCAACTCCTCCAATTGACCACCTCATTGCAAGAAATTGCGAAAGATGCTGGACATGCCCAGAGTCTCTTTATCGCAATCGACCAGGAAAATGGATTAGTTACTCGTATCAATCCACCCATCGCAACAGAACTTCCTGGTTCGATGGCTCTGGGTGCAACGGGTGATCCGTTAAATGCTTTTACGGTTGCAGAATGCACAGCAAAGATACTGAGGGCCTATGGTATCGGCATGAATTATGCTCCAGTTGCAGACATAAATTCAGAGCCAAATAACCCAGTCATTGGAGTGAGATCTTTTTCGGATGATCCAGAGACAGTCGGAAGATTTGTATCAGCTCAAGTGAAAGGTTTACAGCAAAACGGCATCTTGTCTTGCGTCAAGCATTTTCCTGGCCACGGTGATACGGCAGTCGACTCTCATCATGGTCTCCCTATTATCACGAAAAGCAAAGAAGAATTAGAAGCTTGTGAGCTAGTCCCGTTCAAACGAGCAGTGATAGATGGCGTAGATGCTGTTATGACAGCCCACATATCTCTACCACAGTTAAACGGTAACTGCGACGCAGCTACCAAACACTTGCCTGCCAGCTTGAATCCAAATGCAATTAGGATTCTGCGTCAGGTTATGGAATATGATGGACTGATAGTGAGTGATTGTCTAGAGATGGACGGAGTCAGAGCAACTTATGGGACAGAGAAAGGAGCTGTTATGGCATTGAAGGTCAGTATCACAGATATCTTTACAAAGGCAAATACTCAAAAGTTGTGCATCTAGGCAGGAACTGATTGTGTCATGGTTTGTCACACAATGAAAGCTCAAGTCGGCGCGATTGAAGCTGTTATTGCTGCTGTCAAATCCGGAGATGTTTCTCAACAATCGATCGATTCTTCAGTGAATCGGTTAATACAACTCAAGGCCAAGTATCTGTCGCAAATTGTATCACAAATTGTTGATCCCAATCAAAATATTCAAATACTTAACGAAGAATCGTCAAAAATTGCGTCTGAAATCTATGCGAAGAGCACAACCATTGTCCGTACCGAGCCAGGTTTTTTTCCTGTTGAAATTTCCTCGGCAAGTTCTATGAAAGTATTATTGATGTTCGCATCAGAGGCTCATCTTGGGGGTGGTGCCGTCGACAGTGGTGAAGACAGAGCAGCTCGACCCCCGCTGCTCACTTCGTACATCGAAATCCTCAAGCCCTATTGCAAATATATCATCGATATACAATTTAACGAGGGGTATTCATTGGGTCCAGGTCATGAGGATATGATCCATTTTGCAGAAGCCAATCTCATCATTCTTGCGACCAGAAATGCAACCTTTAGTCAATATCAGAAAACTATGGGACAATTTCTAGGAAAATATCTTAGTCGAAACATGATGTTCATCACAGTTGCAACTTGTGATCCTTACGACTTTCTCGAAGATATCGATACCATCAGAAATTACATCGCAATATATGAGCCTACCCCCTCCGCTTTCAAGGCAGCGGTAGACGTAATATTTGGCGTTCGACAAGCTGAGGGATTGCTTCCTGTTTGTTTACCATAAGCTCGGCATACTATTCATCCATCCGCGGATTTCTGGAGCGAGTATGAAGCGTATGAATGATGCCAAAATTTGGCAACACCACAGATGGCGGAAGAGCATTGTCCGAGTCTAATGCGGAAGCTCACTCACACGACGGCAAGGTGCTGAGAAGCATGATATTGGGTGCAGGATCGACCTGAATATTTCCCCGCATTTTGGCAACGCGGGGCTCGATCTTTGGGTACACAACGGACAGTGGAATGCACTTCTGCCTTACCCTAAGTGACATGAAGAGGCCCCATGGGGAAGTATGCGGAATGGCAGAGACCTCTCTCTACTGGTCAAAATTCTGCAATGTGATGCTTTGTACTCGTCACAACAACTTTTACTTTTGACACGATTAATATCTTTGTACTGCCACTTAAAATGCTCGTGGTAAAAAGCATACGCGTTCTAGTATTTCGATTTGCTGCTGAGCCCGCTTAGCCGAATCTTCATTGATGGATTTTCTGATTCTATTAGACTGTTGATGTTGTCGATAATTTTCGATTGTTTCTGATTATGCGACGGAATTTTCAGTGGAAGTTAGCTCTTCAATTTGGAGGATAATTTATCCTCTGCCAATGAAGATTCACTTGGCAGTCTGATGACCACGTTTTGTTACATTACAAAACTGGGGAACTTGGACCTCGACCGGGCTCTCATTGGAACAAGATGAATGTGGAAATCTTCAGATATTTTCGGGTTGGTACAAGTGTATTCCGGATCTGCGGATACTTCATAACCCTCCCTTTAATTGAAATCTACAAAGTAATATACAGACCAAGCAACCGGGTACCATATTAATCCTGTTGCCCTCGTTGTCGAGAACTATCTGAGAGCTTCAGGAGATATGAGAATATTATCTCTCGAAAAGAAAATCTTCCTTTCTTTCTCAAAATGTATATCGAAATGGAATAGCGGGAAAAAGGTCTTGAAATGCTGACAGAGTAGGTTAGATTTTCGGCTAAAATATTCTCTGCAACGATGATTGGTGCATGTTCACAGAACGAGGGGTAGCGGAGAAACTTATGTGTATCACTAGACGAATTCTGTGCATGATGTTCCTGAGTTAACCAAAATGATGCGCGTCTTTTAAATTAAGCCGCTTGGCAAATCCTGCGTATAGATTGCTCAGTATTGTAGTAGTTCACTCTGACATATCTGTGCGGCCTCAGGCGTGCGTGTAAACTGAAGCTCATTGAACAAATATTTCCATCAGCTGAACCCAAGCTTCTATGTATTTCATCGTAAGTTCCAATAGCGACTCCTTTGACGGACCACCTGTCCGATCCTGTCGCGGGTATTAGGTTATTGGGTACCGTCAATCCAGCGGGTCTCGAGCCGTCGTCTATAAGGTCAGAAGGTGATAGATACATTCAAGATGATGGATCGTGCAGGGCAGACTGTTGAATAGTATGTATGAAATGCGATGAAAAGTATAAAGTGCAGGTCTTTTCCTTTGATCAATTTCTCTTCCAAGTTCATCTCAACTTCAATTTTCACTAAAAATAAGAGCTAGAGAAAACTTCACCATGGCCTCAAGAATTGCTCTTCTGTCATTTTTCGCGGCCGTTTATGGTCAACAGAAAGGCACTTATCAAACAGAAACTCATTTTACTCTTACTTGGCAATCCTGTACCGCTAAAGGATCGTGCACCACAAACTCTGGAGGCGTCGTTCTCGATGGAAACTGGCGATGGACACACGGAATAGGCACTTCGACAAACTGCTACACAGGAAATACCTGGGATGCGACCTTATGTCCAAATGACGCTACCTGCGCGACAAACTGTGCACTAGATGGTGCAGACTATTCTGGAACCTACGGTATAACATCTAGTGGTAGCTCCTTGAGACTCTACTTCGTTACTCAATCGGCACAAAAGAATGTTGGATCTCGTGTGTACCTCCTGGCCGATAATACCCACTATAAGACATTCAACCTTTTGAACCAAGAATTTACATTTGATGTTGATGTCTCTCATCTACCTTGCGGATTGAACGGTGCTGTTTACTTCGCTAATCTACCTGCTGATGGTGGTATCTCTTCAACCAACACAGCTGGTGCCAAATATGATACTGGGTATTGTGACTCGCAATGTTCTCGTGACATGAAGTTCATTGCTGGCCAAGTAAGTTTATACGTTCTCTATGCAACGATCGATTGAAGTTAATCGCAATGCTGTTATAGGCCAATGTTGACGGATGGGTACCAGCTAGTTGATTAACAACTATCCTCCACAAAGGTCAGCAAGCAATAACGCCAATACGGGAGTCGGTAACCATGGCTCATGCTGTGCTGAGATGGATATCTGAGAAGCAAACTCGATTTCCACTGCTGTCACTCCTCACTCTTGCGATACCGTGACACAAACTACCTGCACCGGCGATGCTTGCGGTGGCACGTACTCCGCATCGAGATATGCCGGTACTTGCGATCCAAATGGATGTGATTTCAACTCGTACCGCATGGGTAACAAGACCTTCTATGGTCCAGGATTGACTGTCAATACCAATGCCGTATTCACCGTCGTTACTCGGGTGATTCTCTTTTCTCCTTGACCGATTTCCAATCTTCATATCATATTTTTCCAACTCCAACATCAACACAACATCGACACCCCAACTAACCAACCCCCTCAAGTTCCTCACCAGCACCAGCACCTTCAACCAAATAAAACGTTTCTACGTCCAAAACGGCAAAGTAATCCCCAACTCCTACTCCAGCATCTCCGGCGTCACCGGAAACTCCATCACGACCCCCTTCTGCACAGCGCAAAAACCCGCTTTTGGCGACAACACCTCATTTTTCAAGCACGGAGGACTGGCCTCTATGTCTGCTGCTTTTAAATCTGGAATGGTGCTTGTGCTGTCCATTTGGGATGATTATTATGCTAATATGCTTTGGTTGGATTCGACGTATCCGGTTGGGAGTACGGCGGTGGGAGGACCAAGTGGGAGTTGTGGGACGAGGTCTGGGGTGCCGGCGGATGTGGAGGGGAGTGCTGCGGGCGCTTATGTGGTTTATAGTAATATTAAGGTGGGGGCTATTAATGCTACTTATGGGTGAGGTGAGGGGGTGGTGGAAGGAGGGATGTAGTGGGATGGGATGTAGGTGCTGGGGGGGATTGTGTGGGGGGTTGAAACGCTCGTTATTGTTGTTGTTTTGGGGGTTGAAAAGAGTGATGTTCTTTTGGAGGGATTGTGGATTGTGGATTGTGGATTGTGGATATGAAATGTGTCTTACATACAAACTGCTCATTAGTACACGTTGTATATCTTCCTTCGGGCAGAGGTTTCTACCGTAGTCCATTCGATGTATCTAAAACAAACCTCTTCTAGATGCATCTGTGGAATATACTCGAGCACTCGATGAAGAGTTATATTTATGAATTTGAAGAGGGGACCGTACTTGTCCTTTTTCGTCATGAAATGATGAAATGACCTAAATATCCCTCCCGAACATCAAATACGGTATCAAATTTTGACGTGATGAGTTAATCAACTTTGAAAGATTTGAAGAATGAGATCCTCAATGTTGATTCAAGCTGTCGCTTAGATTAGGTATCTATCTGGTCTATCCCATTCGTCGATATCGATGAATTGGATGACTATACCCGAATGGGACGTATACGCAAAATTTGAACTTTGATATCGACGAATAGGATGATCCTGTCTATCTAAGAATATAGAAAATACTAATATCATTAAATAAGATGATCTTTTTGATTGATATCGACGAATAGGATTATTTCTTAATTGATATCGACGAATGGGATCATCCTATT